CATTCCTGCAACTAGGAATCTCTCCACTGCCCCAGCATCCTTGCGTCCGTCATAAATGGACTGTCGGTACATGCAGATGTATCCTCATTGGACTCCAGTAAGAATATATCTGGATGGATGAGCTGGGAAGACTGCGCTCGTTTCACCGAGGCGACGCGCTCAGTTGTGTGTCGCCCTTGCGTAGGCGGCCAATCCATCATCACTCTACACTTTCGAAAAAGAAAAACGGGCGAGGATTCGAAAGAGCAGATATATATGAAATGCTTTTCTGCGCAGCAAGTCACCTGCGCGTCAGGCCCCCAGCTGTTGGGTGGGGCGTGCAGCGCCAACGCTCCTCTCGAAACGAATCATTACTACCAAGTGAAAATCAAATCGTCGGCCTTGGCGGAGGACTATCGGGCGCTGTAATATCTAGCAATCGCTTATAACGCCCTTTCTCTCCCCACGATTCGGACTTTTTCTCCTTATTCCAGATTGCCTGAGCGCAACAGTCCAGAGCCGTGGGGCTGGTAGGGGGAGGAGGTGACATCCCCCCACTTGCAGAACTACCTGTTTCAAACCTTGCCGCAACGCAACTCCACAAGCATGCATACTCCATCCATGTTTCGATACGCTTACATACGCGCTTTCTCTTTGTGGTGATAATAATTTCACGAATTGCGATAAGCAACCTATTACAGGCAACAAATACATTCTGAATTGACTGCAAACTACCTTTTTTAGATGTGAAGAAAACTAGGTTTGTATGGGCACAGAGACACAGCCTCAGTTCAACTGCACAGCGGTCCTCGCAGAAAAGGCCTTTACAGCTTGCTGCACCTCAATGCAGAAAAAGAGAAGCTCCTTTTTATGTGTAGCTGGAAGATGATGCAGCCGTATGCCTCTGCGTGATTATAGTGGCTGCATCTTCCTAGTAGTAAGCCTCCAGTCAGTCAGCTAAACACACGCTCAGCACCCGTCGGCGTTCCAGCCTCTTCGGAGCACACGTCCATTGCGCCATCTGTGAGCTTGCGGAGGCTGGCCGCTCTCCCATACGGCCTTCGTGACTTACTGGCCATATGAAGAGCACCGAAATTGAAAATCTGAAGGATCTAGATTTCACCGGGCTCAGCACTCCCTAAGCAACCATCTCCCGTACACAGTCACGTGATAATAAGTGCATCTCGCCACAACAACATCCCGACGTGGAAGCCACCCGCTCTCCCCAAGGCACTACAGCTGCCTCCCACAACTCTGTTGTGCGAGCAGGTGTGATGGGAATTATAAGTCCTAACATGACGGTCAAACGAGTTGGGAATGAGTGGAATGATTGCTCCGAACGTCTTAGGCGCAAAGGTAGGTCTATGCTGCTGAGCGTGCTGGGGACAGGAGGCTGGAACGTTCTGATTTTTATTACCATTTGTTGGCATTGCTTGCGAGCAGATAATATCACATGGAAGCATTCTCGCACGCCGCTATATTGTCAATCCACACCTCACAAGACTACACGGAGCGCCTGCCCCCGGTATCCATTACCATTAAGCTGGATCACAGATGAAGGGCTCAGCATTGGCAACTCCGAAGGAAAACACTCCTAAGTTTTTTGGCAAAGAAAGGGTTTTTAGAAGCAACGAGGTTGCCACAGTCAGGACTTCGTGTAGGCAATGGTGTCTGAGATGGTGGGCGTACTTGGCTCCCTTCTGCAGATGACCAAGGCAATACGCTGCAGGGCATGCGCCTTGTTGACGAATCCTGAGGAACCCAAAACCATGCGCTTTTAATTGCCAAAGAGGATTTCATTACAGCTTATGTACAAGGTTTTGCTCCCTCCAAGAGGGATGTGGTAATGGGTGATCTCGGATGCCGAAATGACCATCACAACTAAAAAAGAGGATGATTCGGAGTGCACATTTGCCTAGTTGAGCAACGAATGCTTGAAGTGTTGGTTTGAAAGGTCGCTTGCGCAAGCTCACTTTGACTGTATACTGGCCGTATTTTTGCATACGCTGAAGCTGCTAGCTATGAGTTTTGAAAACAACTTCATTGGACACGGGTTGGCGTAAGTAAGTCCACTTCTTTTGGGAGTTGTCCTAGCGCAGTTAAGAGCCAGCCTGAAATTCAGATTAAGTGGCGTGGGTAAGCCCCCAAGCTCTCCAGTTTGTTCTACCGCTGTATCAGCCTTCTACGCGACTTCCTTCTCCCCCTGCTTGTCCCCCTGGTTAGGGTGAGGCTGTTTGACTCGATGAAAGGCGATGCCCTTCTCCAGAACTCCCTCTCTGCAATTTGACCGTGGTGTTCTGCGGATGAAGCCTGCTAGGTTTGGGTCTGCCCAAAAAAAGCAGGCTTTAGAATAATACAGTAAGTCGTTGCATTGTTGATTTGTGCTCGTCGATATGACGAGCATCGAAAGCTCATTCTTTCTGGTGTACATAAATGGAGAACAATTATGCTAACAAATTGAGTGTAACCTTGTCTATGAGGCCGAACAGCTCGATCACCGCCCCTCTAGCTGTGAGGGCGATGCACCGCAACTCCTACCCGCAACACTGTGTACCCAGATGGCGCTTGCATTGCGCTGTATCTTTAGTGTGTGTAGTGCCATCAAGCGTTGCGAGGATAGCTTCGCCACCTAGCTGATGCGAGGGTGCACAGGAAGGAACAAATAGTGACAAGTTGCGCTAGTTTACGAGCTTTACTAAGGTCTGTACTTCCAGCAAATACTGGAGAAGTGGTGTCCACTGGAGTGCAGGAGGTTCGCCACTCCATAAGAGCGGATTTAACAACCGAGGCAACTTCCTGCACGCCTCTGCTACACATTTTAGAATTCAGAGTGGAACGAAACTACTTCGCCGCCACTGCCACTTACATGTAACGGTTGGCAGCAAACACTAACTAGTCCAGTTGGGAATATAATTGAAGTGCAGGTATCCTCTGAAAACACCACAGATACTTCCCAAACGCCCTACGTTTAAAAATGGAAGGCAAACACGCACCAGAACACAGGAAGATCTGAGCCAGCACAGTTCGTCGTCAAGAGGGTAGAGGAGCTGAACTAACTCAGACATCCAATAGGACTGTTGAAGATTTATTGGTCAGAAACTGAACATTCAAGCCACGAAGCTGCTAAGGCCGATTTTTGACGACACTGCTGCTTGCAAACACTGGTGGCACTCACGGGCAGTCGTAGCTGCCTTCCAACTGAGGAAGGTGTAGACCCCATTACCAATAATGCTTTCATGACCGACGCATCTAGATGCTCACGTCCTGATACCACTTTGCCTCACAGAAATGCTATTCCCACGTATGGGTTGCGTTTCTCATAGGCGGACAGTGACGGCACCTCACACCCAAGCAGTGCGAAGCGTAGAATCACAAGAATCCGAAAGACAAAGCAGATGCCCGTGCAAATGTTTTTTTACGTGAATTAGCACATAAAAACGGCTTTTGAAGCAGTGCATTTTAAACAGCGACAGCCGCAGCAAACTTGCCGCTGGCCGCCCCAGCCGCAGCGAGCAGCGGTGCAGCAGCAACTGCAGCCTTGGCGTCTGAGACTGCAGCGAAATTGGCAGAGTCCGGCATTCTACGCCTTTGGGTGAGAAGTCGTTTGGCTCTCTATAGAAGCAAAGGTAGGCTTCCTATGCGGGGCCTTCCGTGTCGTTTCCTAACAGCTGCAGCTGTAGCGGCTGCTCCGTGGCCGTTTTACCATTCAGGAGCCTTGGGGCTTCTGTTCTGTTTATTTCGTGAGCTTCCCATTACCATCGTGATTGTACTTGTTGCGGTGAAGTGAGCGGTCGAATCAAAGGGATTGCGGGAACGTGTAGTCCTGCTGGCGGTTGCTGCCCGGTGGGCTGCGTCGCTTGGACGGCGGGCCGCCCTCTCCGTTTGCTGCAGAGGCAGCAGAAGCAACAGGAATTTCGCCGACGATTTTCAGTCATCCGGGAGGAAGAACAGCAGTTTGACTAGGCCGGTGCGGCCTCCCCTCACTACGGGAGCAACGGGCACGCCGATTCGGCTGACGGGGGGTGTAGCGAAGCATCAGTGAGGGCAAACGCCAGATTAAGGAAGGGCTGACATACACTTGTTGGTCGGGTTTGCGCTCTCCAGCGTTGAGGCCATTCTCCATATTGCTTCCCTCACGTCTGCCTGGACGTTGCTTGCTAGCCAGCGTGTGCATTTTAAACATCCTCCGTTAACCTCCTGCTGGTCAGTAGTGAGGAGGCGTTGGATTTCTTCTTCGCCCTATCCAAAAAGCTCTGAATTCGGCGGTGATAGCGGCGCCTGCCCGTTGCGCCAACATCCTAGCCTCAACTGGTGGCTTTCTTTCACTTCTTCCGGCGGAAGATGGCCAGCGGCCGTGCACCTGGGCCCCAGGGAGAGCCCCGTGGTGCTGTTCTTTAGGAATCCGCTCCTTGAGTCAGTGGGGCGTTGGCGGTGATCCAGCGTTAAGGAGACCGCGGAGCCTCTGCTGGCTCTGCGAAAAATGGTTGGCGAGAACGTGTAGCCCCAAATCCCAAGCGGAATTGGTTCGCCTGGAAGTGCATTTGCTTTGCTCCCGACTGGCAAAGGCAGCAAGTAGAGAAGGGTCCTCTGCCCACTACGGATTTATCGAACAGGGCATCCGGAAAGTGCCTTTCTGCCGGTGATAGGGCTGTGAAGTCGTTAAACGCATACGCAGCTCGCTTTGTTTCAGTGGCTTGTTCCTTGTGGAAAGCCTGTCTGTCTTCATTCACATAGATAATTTCACTTCGGCCTATTTCTCTCGCTGCTGTTGATCATTTGGCCCCGGGGGATACGGAGACACTGCGACAATCAGCGGGACTGGACTCCGCGTGTGCTCCGGTGTGTACCTCAGCAGCGACGTGGATCTTCCGGCTGTACGAGCAACTAGATCCTAGTGTTGCTTTTTTCACTCGCTTTCATCCATCCCTTTTTGTGGTGCGATCGCCTTTGCAGCAGTCAGCACTGCTGGTGACCTTCAGTTGTAGCAGTTACTCCAGGTCTTGGCTTTCTTTCATTGCAAAATGGCTCAAGAAAACGAGTCGCTGCATCCAGAGATGCAGGATAGCCTCAATCTGGGGGAAGGGCCAATAGAGGTGGACGTGGCACCTGTTGGACAACTCCCTGGCCTTGCTGCTGATGGGGGAGCTCTAAGCGGCGTCACCATCAATGAGGTTGACGAGGCGGAGATGGCGCGTATCACGGCAGCAATTGGTCAACCAGAAATTCTGGATGATTTAGTGCCTCCAGCGACGCTGGGCACTGTTACGGTGCAGCAGGTACCGGCGTCGAGGGCGGCCGCGGCAGCTGCTGCTGCGGCACAGCAGCAGGTTGCGGCGTTGCAGCAGCAACAACTGCAGCAGCAACAGGCTGTTGCGGCTGCAGCCCAGCAGTTGAGGCAGCAGCAGCAACAGCATGGGAGCGCTGCTTTGTCGTCGGCTGCGGGGGCAGCCCCGCGTGCGGTGCCAACGGGACAGAATGAAAGATGGCGCTTGTACTTACCCCACGTGGAGAGGTTGCTCGATGCGGAGGGTATTTTGTTGCTGCGGCAGACCTGTCGCCTGCTCTGCAAGCACAAGTATCGACCTGCGGATGGGGTGTTGTCTTTCGGAATGTTTCGAGGAGTTGACGCACGCATCTTGATGGAGCAGGTGGTGCCGCTGGCTTGCAAAGCTGTGCACCCAGAGGTACGGGCTGCGGGTCTTTCTCTTGACTTCAGTGGTTGCTCTCTCCTGAAAGATGCATCTGTAGCTCGATTGATGGACGTGCTGCACGGCCGGAAGGAAGACAACATTATCGGCGGAGTTCTTAAGAGCCTCTGCCTTGATTTTTGCTATGAAGTGACAAATAAGGGATTGGCGGCACTGCTGACTACACACCTCCCTTATTTGGAACGACTCTCGCTCCGATGCGCAAGGAGCAATGAATTGACCTTCACAAACGTAGCCACGGACTTCTCAGCAGACAACTGGCCCAATTTGCTGCATTTTGACGCGTCGTTCACTAACATGAGACTGGACGCAGCTACGGTCTTAGCCGATTGCCTCTTGGGGAATGCAGCGGCAGTTAACAAGCGGCACAGGAAGGACTACGAGAGAAAGCTTCAGGAGGAGAAGCAACTGCGCCGGCTGTTACATCAGCAGGAGAAGGAACACGTGCAGCACATGGAACAAGCGAGGTCTCTGAAGGAGCAGCACGCTGCAGTTGCGGAGAGGCTGCAACAGCAGCAGGCACTGCTAGAGGAGAAGGAAAGGGCATTGGAGAATCAGCTGCAGCTGGAACCGATTCAAGTTGACGGCGAAGCTCCAAGCGATCAGCCAGAGGATCCTGAACAGTGCGCTGTGCGGGCACAGCGAGAGCTCGTGTTGCGCCTGCGGCAACAGCTGGAGTCGCTTGCGGCAGCAGTGGCAGCAGGGGAGGGAGCCGCAGTGGCATGCCAAACTGCCATTGAGCACACAACAGCAGCTGCTGATGCAGCGGGTCTTGCTGCAGCTGAAAGCCTCGCAGCTGCTGAGGAGGAGGAAAAGCACCCCGTTGTGGCATCGCTCGAAATTGTGGGTTCTCTTGCATCCAAGTGCCTCCTTTCAAAGGTTGGGATGGAGACGCACTACCGCTCTTTCTGTCATGCAGTGAAGCTCGGTCTGCATGATCAGATCTCATCGCTGACGAAGGTTGTGCAGAAAGAGGTGGGTGACACCGACACTTAACACGCCAGCCGCACATAGAGTTAGCGAGTCCAGCAAATGCACACCGTGAAGCAAGAACATTGCTCTGCGCACTTGCATATTCTGGAGTCGTCATGCGCATGATTGGCGAGTGGCCTGGGCGCTCTTCCATCTATGTGCTTTGCGTTTCCTGTGCCGTTGTGCTTTCATGTTCCCCTACAGTTTACGGAACTATGTGCCTCGGCTCCTTACCGGGGCAGCTCGCTGCTAACGCTTCAAGCGAAGCGTGGCAGCGAGCTGCTGGTCAATGCGCCATTTGTTGTGGACACGTCAGAAGATGGCGGAGTCAATGTGCTTACGCTTCCTGTCTCGATTGCCATACAAACTCAGGACCAGGAAACTTTGAAAGTGGTGGGGATGCCGATGGCCGGCGATGCAAGGGCTGATCTGTAGAAGTCGGTGAACATGTTGTGTGCGCGTTTATATTGGAATAAGGCTCACATGACGGTCGCTTCTGCATTTTTTTTGCTTACGTGCGTGTTCGTTCTACCTGTTGCAGCTGATTAAACGAGGAGCGCAAATCGACGTGTGTGATTATTTGGGAAAGTCACCGCTCCTGCGGGCCTGTGAAGCATCGCGACTAGATCTTGTGGAGGCGCTTCTTGACCTCGGCGTTTCCCCGAATCCGCATGATCTTCGCTGTGCCCACTTTCCGCTGCAAACGGCAATCCGGCGCAATGACGCGGAGATAGTCAAGGTGAGCATCGCCTACTGTGTTGGTACTTCTTCGAAACAGTTCACTTGTTTCAAGCGAGGGTTACAGCAAGCGTGAGAAGCCATTTTTCGGATAGACGGGTCGTCGCTCCTTGCTGCAGAGGCGGCGCAGTTGACCCAGCGTTCTGTTTTTCCTGAATTTGGTACTTTGTCTGGCCGCAGCGTTTGCTTGCTCGAGGCGCGGCGCTGGATGTGAAGTGCCCAGGAGTACGCACGTATAAGAGCGCTCTGTGTGTAGCTTGTGAGGTCAATTCGCCAGAGATCATTAGTATCATCTTGAAGGCTGGAGGGGACCCGAACTCCCGTGGCCATAATTCGTACACACCTACATTGGTGAGCCCATCTTCCCAAAAAGCAAAACTGCACGTGCGTAGCACTTCGTAAATTGTTGTTGTGGTTTCTTCCTTGTATGCGAAACGGGGTGCCATTGCTGCTTTCTTCACAGATGGCATATCAGTTGAACCCGAAGTGGCTGCCTCTCTTCCTGGAAGCTGGTGCAGGCGCCGAGAAGGGGAAGAGATGGGTATTGACCGGTGAGCTAAAGATGGCAAATTTGCAGCAACAATGTAATGATACATACTGGAAACGCAAGGTTTTTTGATGCGGATTGCAGACCTACGCAGACTGTTGAGTTGTTACTACTTTGATGCTTTTTTGTGACCGCAGATGTGCTGAGTTGCGCTGTGGCGAAAAATGACGTTGAGAGCATTGGTTTATTGATTGACAAGTACCCAGACCTCATGAACCGCACGCATCCGCTGTGGTCCAAGCCTCTTCTACAGGTAAAAGCTGGGTAGAAGCTGGCGGTTTGCAGTTCCTGCTGGCTGTCCGTTCTGTCTTGAGTTCGACGATTCGATAACTTGAGTGCGGCGTCTGGGATCGTTTCGCTAGTTTTCGGCTTTTGTTACGCCTATTTACAGGCTGCAAAACAGGGACGTGTCCAGGTGCTGGAACTGCTGCTCGCTAGTGGATGCAACGTGGATGCTCGAGGCGAGGGCGGCCAGACGGCCTTATTGGCTGCAACAGAGGAAGGACTAGGGAGTTGTGTTGAGCGTTTGATTGACCACGGTGCAGATGTCAACAAAGCCAACTTTGAAGGTGATGCTTATCCTGGCTACTCAGAGCTGTGCTCATTAACGTTCTCATGCCGTGCGCATGTAGTTTTAACTGGGATTCACAATCTGCTGGTCGTTGTTTGCATCGTAGGAATGACTCCGCTGATTGTAGCATGCATGGAAAACCACGAAGACATGGTCAATTATTTCTTAGATCATACGCAAGAGCCGTACAGAGTGAAGGTGCACCCGAACAGTCTTCAGCAACAGCCGCATCTGCAGGTAGTGGAAAACGCTCAAGGGGAGAAGGCGTGTGAAGGAAAGTGGATCCTCGCAACGCAAACTCAAGTCCTTGATTGCAACAAAGCGGAAAAAACTGAGGGGGAGACCCCTTTGCTTGTGTGCATTCGACTGAGAAACGACAAAATTGCCAAAACTATCTTGAAAAAAGCCAAGTCCATCGATCTGGAAGCAAAGGTTAGCATGCATTCCTGCTAGAAATGGTGCTCGGCAGTGGAGGTAGTGCGTTAACAAGGGATAGGAGATATCTGCTGAGCATATGGCTAACTATTTCGTGAGCCACCAGTCAGTGTGCATGCGCGCATGCTGTTTCTGCAGGATTCGCAAGGGCGCACTGCGTTGCTTGCTGCTTTATTTTTTGGCCAGTATTCTGTGGCTGCAACGCTGATGGAAATGGGGGCGGACGTAATGACCCAAGATGAAGCTGGGAACACAGCATTAGCCATCGCGAATGAGCGGTAGGTATCGGTAACTGCACTTTTCTGCAAACGCCAGCGATGGCTGTTGAGAGGTTACTTGCTCCTATTTGTGAGCGCTCGCTGTCATTTGATTGGACAGAGGTTGGCGGCACACCCACCACTACCTACTGGCTCTGGTTCTTCTTGTGCAGGTTGCTGACCCCCGGCAGCGACAAGCGCGTTTTGCGTCGATTCCTGCGTCTGTACCGGAGCCGAGACACGTCACGACGCCATGCATCTTCTAGTGGTATGCTGCAGTCGATGTTGAGTGCGCTGCGGGATGAGGGGGGCAGCAGCTCCCACGTGGAGTCTGACTCTGGGAGCGGAGGAGAGGGCGCTCGTTTTTTTCGCAAGAAAAGCGTGAGCCGCAGCAGTAGCAGAGGCAAGCAGAATGGCCTCGATGGGGCCGATCCGAGAGTCTCACGGAGTGATGGAGAGGTTCATGGCACGTCAACAGCGGGCCATAGTCGGGGTGCCGCCGCGAGTCCGTCGAGCAGCAGCAGGAAGCGCTCCGGAAAGAAACTTAAGATTGAGCCCAAGACAGTTCTGCAAGTTGCGAAGCTGCCGATGTCCCTTTTTCGAGCGGCCAAGGCGAAATGACCTGCCGCCGCCCACCCTAGAAAGACTCGTATTTGTGTTGCACAGGGAATAACCGTGCAGGTATTTTGAAGACAACCGGCCGTCCACCTCTGAACGTGGAGCCCTTGTGGAATCGTGTTCATCTTCCTGAAGGCGTGCGCACAGTAGAGCGCCACCGTAGAGAACGAGATGGTCAATATATCGGGCGCTTCGTGACGTAGTCCTAGGCGCAGGCAACTGCGACTCGTGTTGTTTGAGAAGACCGCGCAGTGGCAGCACGTAGTTCTGGGACGCCGTTCACTAAGCTAGAGGAGGTTCAGTTCGTTTCTTTGTAATGGGGGAGGTGTATCTGATTGCTTGGATATTCCCTGCTACGTGCGTGGTAGCGTTCGATGTAAATTGCGGTGGCTTCCGGCCGTGAGAAATGCTAATTCCGGCTAGGGCATATCTCATGCCGTCCACCTAAGCCCGTGTCCTCGCTGCACAGTGGCGTGGCGCCTGCCCTCAGCCACAGGGACTAGTTACCCTTTTGCAGTGGCGAGCGACGCAATAGCACGATAGCACGGTGAACGATGGATTCAGATGACTAGTCATCATTTCATTGCGGTGCAGGCTAAATGTGTTTCAGTCTAAGTGTAGAGTTCGTTATCATGCTCGGTTAATTTGTGTGCCCTTGACAGCTGGTTGGTTCAACAGCAACGCCACGAATGTTGAAAGCACAGAGAACTGCCGAGGCTTTTTCTGACCACGACACTTGTATTTTCGTCATCTAGTGAGCAGATGGAATGGTGCAACTGCTGTAACATTGATAACATAGCAACTGCATAACGCTTTGCTGCTGAGCATCTTAGAAGTAGCTATTCTAAAGGAATGACTGCCTGCCAGCCGGTCTTTCCAGGCCGGAAAGGGGACGTCGTCGTTTCTTCCACACGGGAAGAAGAGCAAGATGACCGACAACGATGGGCGCCGAAAAATTCAAATGGTTCGAATTCGTAGAAATGTAGATTTGTGCCTCTATCGCCTCGGATTCGGGCGGGTGGATGGCAAGATATAACTACTCCAATTAGTGTGAACAGTTTCCACGAAAGGGCAAGCTCACCGAATGTTGCGATTAGAGGAGCTTGCTCAGGGCCACTCCGTCAAATCAACTAGGCAACCTGTCATGCTCGGGGTAGTTTCATCTTCATGATCGATGATGAAGGCTTGCAGGGGCTTCGCTTTAGTACATCATAATCCTTACTTGTCACCTCTCCAACAGCAGCCTGCGAAAAAGTAAGACTCCCCGCTAGTTAATGTGGTTCCTGGAGCGTCTATACTTGCCAACTTACCGCTCCTGCACATAAGAATGCGCGTTGCCACGGTAGACTCAACGGGAACTGACCTTTCGCAGAATGCCTTGTAGTCGACCTCCTCGGTAGAAGCCTCCAGCACTGCGTTTACCTCGTCGTTTGTTAAGACCTCCCCACAATTCTGCAGGATGTTTCTTACAACTCGCAAGGGCACCTTTCCAGTGCAGGATGGGTCATAGCACCCAAACAATTCTGCCAACAGCTTTGGGCTATCGTTGCAATGCGCCACCTGAAGGCAGAATGGATTGCCATCACAAGTTAGATATATGTATACGGTCTCAACCATAAAAACCATGGTAGAGGAGAACCGGCGTTCGTGAACTGTGTGGAGTGTTTGGTTACTCCTTTGCAGAATGTTGCAAATGTGGAGATGTCGCAGTACTCTCCTGCTACTGCTTTTAGTTCTTCGATTTCCCCAAGGGATGGAGCTAATCCCTGATCAAGCATTCCACGGAAGCCACAATTCAGAGACAAAGCTAGCAGCGCTGATGACCTATGGACTGTCAACTCGCCCGCACAACAACGCTAGATTTGCATGGAGCGAAAGAAGCCCAACAAAACCCTGGCCACTGATCGTATAGAAAAGATGCACGCGAGACCAACGAAAAGAAAAGAAAGCATGTCACCAGCACGCACCAACCGTCTAGCCAAGTCCCCTGCCTTCGTCGTCAGAATTAAGCCTCCACCTCCCTGAGAGCAATGAAGACGCACGGAACCCTTCTTGTCTGCACTATGAGCGCATCAGAGTCAAGCGGTGAACAAAGGTTTGCTTTTCTACCCCCATGAAATCGACATACTGATACATCCTTGAACGCAGCAATAAGTTGTTTGCTGCTTATGCTGGACGGTCGCTGAGCGAAACGCACGCAGTCTGAACAGGAGAGTTTGGGGTTAAAACCATACGAGAAAATAGAAATCTGGTATTGTCGTTATTGTAGACAATACTTGTGGGGAATTCATGCCGTACTGAGGAAGCGGGAATGGTACCGGGTCTCCCGAGGTCCCCACGTCTCAATGGTTTGTCCATCCTACAATTGAACGGCGACAGAGGCAATACTGCCACAATGGGTTATCTCACATCTCAACATCAAGAAACAGTCTTGATTCCACTGCTTTAAGTTGATGTACCTCAGGAGTGTAAGTGCTGACGGTGGACCGGCGTGCATGCGTTGTCCTGACCATTCTTGAGCAATATCTGGGGGTAGGCAGAGTCCATCCTGCACTTACCTTTAAATTTGGAAGGCGCGCATGAATCCACAATAAGGCTAGTCTATAAATAAAGACGGAAAATGTATAATGGACAGTTTCCTATGGCGGCATGGGTGACGGCCCGTTGCAACTAGATTTGCAGTTCGTGGCATCATTGGGAGATTTGGAGAGGCTAGTTCTGAGCATTGTTCATCTGCTAAGAATTTCGGGGTCTATTGACGACTATTTTTTAGCAGGTGGGCAGCCAACCTCTTTACGTTGCCTACATGACGTGGACACTCCTCGTGAAGCATGTTCTCTACGGAGCTGTTGCTTAAGTACTATTACTTGCGTGCAGGCTGCCTTGAAAGTGCCAGGTAAGTGTTCAACAACTGGCTGCAGCGTTTGTGCATGCAGCGAAAATGGCTTTAGTGAGGCTGTGCATGCGTGGGTGGGTGCCTTGCTGCAATAGTTGGAACAGACTTAATTGTAAGTTATATCAGGCCGCCTCGTCTCTGACCAGCCCAAGCATTTGAGCCGCTGTGCCTAGTATGCCTGGGGTCTGAAGTGGAATTCAACTGCTTTTGGGAAACAATTTCTCACATGTTTGGTTCTACCGTGGCTCTCAACCGTCCGGCAAAGATCGAGGATGCTCGCTACGCCTCACGGTTCTGCCGAAGTCGAAGCGAATTCAGGGACGTACAACATAGGCTAGTTGTAGGAAAGAACTACAAGAAGTGCACGGCTGCAAAAGTTTATGGTACGGTACAGTGGAAGCTGCCTACTCTAGTTTCCTCTCCGCAGCGGGTAACTATCTCGAGACGTACAAGAGGTTCGAAAAGAATGCATAGATCCAGCTTGTTAAGTACTTCTGAAGATTTTGTTGGCCACGGTGCTTAGATACTTCAAACCTAGCGGTGATTAGTCACAGGGTGCCACTCTGGTTCACAGTGGTAGAATTCTCAAGAGAGAACAGAGTATAGAGAAAACATAACTTTGCATTTGAGGGCTGTACGTTCCGCTGGATAAAGGCGAACGTGGAAGTGACGGAGACTGTCTGAACGAACATCTAGCCGAGGGAATTTGACGAGCTTCCTCGATCTCAGCTCAGGAGTGCGTGAACTCTTAATAGGTACAGAAATGCTCGAGGTAAGAGCTCCTCAAAGGCAGCTGAACTCCCTTCCAATCTTAAGGGGGGCACGCCTGGGGTAGCCCTGCAGCACTAGTTGCAGCAAGGTGTGTTGCAGCGCATCTCAGTGCGAATCCATTCGCACCATCCCAGGCCTTTGGGCCACTGTGCGCAGGACGCCTGGGGAATGTAGGTTAGATAAACTGTTCTGGGGGAGCTTTTTCAAAGTGTTTGACTCTACTGCCGCTCACGACACCCCCTGCTCTAAAACCAAGGACGCTTATTACACCCCTTGTCTTCCAAGAAAGTGGTACTGTTGCTTATGCATATTCAGCATTATCGTGCATCCCCATCGAATGGGAAAAAGCCCAAAAGGAACTGTAGCCCAGTAAGTGCATTTTAAATGGGAAATCACACCTCCATAGAAGCAGGATATTCTTTCGCTGCCCAGGCTTTGGCAAGATATCCCTCCACTAGCACGGTTTTGGGGTGCCCGCCATATTTGGACGGCGGGAAGAGACAGGGGAACACATATATTGCATTTGCAGTAAAAGCAGGTTCAGTTGTGAGCCGCCGCGAGGTGCCAGTTTGTTGGCCGCGCCTCTGCAGAAAAGCAGGCTATGATCAATATCCAGGATATTCGGAAGGCAGGCCGGATTTCGAAAGTTGCGCCGTGACACGCGATGAGACGGGGAAGGCACGTGAATTGCAGCAGTTGTGGGGTCCCAAAAGGGATTTAAAAGAATTGCCAATGCTTAGATTTTCAATGTTTCAGGATTTCACAGCTTGTTGAGGAACCTGGAGCTTAGATTAACGCGCTCTAAAGAACTTTTCGTAGGGGGTCCTACGAAGCGCATAAGCAGGCAGGGAACTCTGCCAGGTGTCCAGAAACCAGCGCTTGCTACACCCTGTGTTCGCGCGCAACGTAACACACGCATTGCTGTCGTGCACCACACTCACGATATAACCAGGTCACCTTCTGAATACCTAAAGGTAGTTGTTCTTATTTACGTTCAGTGGGCCTGTGTCATGCACGCAAAGTGCACGCACAAGGCGCATTCGTACGGTGCCATGGCAGCATCGATGAGAAGGACATCTCCGTACCGTAGCATGTCGGCAGTACAGCAGCACCACAGCCACGCGCGGGCTTTGCCACCCGTTTTGAAACTTTGCCTCTCCAAGGCTCAACAATATCTGCAAATCGGAGCAGCCGTCACTCTTCGTCGATGGCGTGCACGATACTGGGGCACCGGATGCGTAATCCTAAGCTTCAGATGACTTTTCGAAAGCAACAGACTGCAGCTTACACCGTGGAGTAAAAATCAGAGCTGCACTAGGGTGATAAAAGTGCACTGCCGAGCGGGGCTGACCTGTGCGAAGGTCATTGTTGCTGTCCCTTCCTTTAGGTGAGCACGCTACCGCTCTTCTTTATGTGTTAAAACATATCGAATCTCCCAGCGTTTGCTCTCTTAGGGTAGTTGAGGCGGCGCGCGTGCATCTCTCCATCATCTCCATCTGCGCGTGTGCGCCGTCCTGGAGTTCCTTCTTTCCTTGGGACACTTGTCTCACGCCTAGAGGCTGCAAGGACAGCTTGAAGTGATGGCACGCCACCATACACTGCAAAGGGACATTGTTATGTACCAGCATGAAGGGCCCACAACGCAAGCTCGCCAACAAAAAGTTCGCCCCGGGTGTGAGTCGATACCTATGCTGTGCATTATTACCCTCCCAGTGCACCTGCATGTTACTTCTTTTCTGGAATGCTCATTTGCATAACTGAGCACTTACCTGTTCCACGTTCCAGTTTCAAGCCATCCAGATTCTGGATAGGGATTCGCATCCTTGGCCTCCCTCTCGCAAGTGTGCGATGCCACCCAGTGTAGCAACGCCTCTGGCAGGGGCGGTGGAATCTCATGAGGCGCGGCAAAGTGCAAAGAGGTTTTGCTAAGCTTTAAAAAGCTGGTTTTTCCTCCTTCACCCAACTGGTGGAGCCACGCAGTTCATCCTCCTGGGGCTCATGAACGGGGGTGAATAGCCTCTTCAGATGTGCGGCGCCGTCTACCACAATCCTTCCAGCAAAAAAAGCAAACGCCAAGCATAAAGACCCGTTTCATTGTTTCTAAGAACATTGGCAAGTGGGCTGTCAGCTCCCAGCGTTCAAATAGATGCACACGTTCCCCTACTGCAGACACTTACACGACACGGTTTGTAAGCCGATTAGGCTTACTCTCAACGTTTTGCAGTTTTGCAGTAGCGTCCTACTAGCGGTGGCAGTAAGAGCAGCGGTGTTACTCCGGTATACTTACATTTGCGACAAGCCCTTGACAAAAATCAGTTCCTGTCCTTCGGCTGAACAGCACCGCCATGGATAAAGCGGCGTGGCTTATGGACAAGTTGGGGTCTGGTAGAAAGAAGCAAATGACGCTTCGTCGGCATCATAAAGCTGAAATACAAACTCAAAATAACAGAATAGGCTAGTTGTACTGGCCAGTGCAACAGCAGCGGAAAGCTTTGATGTGCCAAGAAGGAAACTCGGAACGGATTGGACTTTTTTTCAGAACGGAGTTTGCGTGGAGTGGCGCCTCCTCCCATCAAAGGCAGATGCGCGGAAGTGGGGCTATGCTGCGCCCTTCACCAGCAGCAGCGGGGTAATTTAGCGTGAAACCCTCTACTAGTTCTCCATGTTACTCCGCCTAAACCCTCTCCTCTGGCAACTCAGCCTCCTGCTGGCGGCGTCACCGGGTGCAAGTCTTGATTTATCACACTGTAGTAACCAGCTTCTCTTGCTCGTTGTGCTCAGTAGCCTGCTCTTTATCGTATTGCATGCCACTTTGGGTTACATACGCGGGGCATGCGCTCTTCTTTGGTTGGCCGCATCGGCGAGGCTTTACAGCGAACCAGAACTCCTGCAAACTTGCATGCCGTACGCAGACTTAAAGGGTGCTACAGCAGGGAAAGAATTACCAATAGATAGATAATTACTCCATATGCCTGCAACTACTCTTATGAGCTGGCCGGCCGTTATGGATCTAAAGGTGCCAGCGGCTAGTTACCATTGCATCGTCACTGCAATGCTGCTGGCATTCCTCGCTCCTTCGCATTCCTGATGTTGCAGCAGCGGGGATCCGGCAAAGCTAGGAAGATTTGTTGCGTCCAATTGGGCAACTTCTCTCCTTTAATGTAGATAGTTGTAATTTCGGACATTGTCGTTGCTCCCCAACAGCAGCAGCATCCTTGCTTACGGCAGGAGTGGAACTTTTGTTCACAGAAGTCCAGTGGGTATACTCCCAGCAAGCGAAGGTGGTTGCGAAGGAATCGAAGTGTCAGACTGTGCCAGGTTCCTGCATGACAGTGTCTACTAGCCTCATAGTTGAGGTTCAGGCAGCATAACGTGGCCGCGTTCGAGGCGTATCTCTTACCGTCAACGAAGGCAAGGTGATATCGGTTTCCGCATAGCTGTAATGCCAGTAGCCTGCCAACGTATGGTATTGTTTCGGAATGAGAAGTAACGTTCGCATTCTAGTTTAAGGGAACGCGCGTTTGTTGCTCCTTTTGATTGACAACTACTGTGGGGTAAATATCTGTGTAGCTAGGGTACCCCCAGCAAAAACGACAGTATGGACTTATATCAAGCATAAACATCAACATTATCGGGTGCATTAGTTGACCCGCGAAATTCCGCTTCCTGTAGAACTGCTTCAGACGTTGGTGTATCTTGTAAAGACTTTAGGATAGTTGCCGCCTGCTGGCCACCAACCAAAGGCTGATGCAGCACGCAGTATTGCGCGCTGGCAAAAGCACCATACAGTGGGAATACAAGTACTGGATTAAAAGTTGCCCCGTCCGTATAGGTGATGTGTAGAACGGTATGCTGAAGAGCCTGTAATGCCCTTCTGCTCAGGACTCAGTAAACTGTTCTCGACATCATAATGAGAAATTTAAGGCGGTTTGCCCTCTTAAAACTGTAGCTTCTGCGTATCTTTTTCAGTCTGCGATAGCCCGACGAGCGTGAGCAGCTCTACGGTACGCAGGGTGCACACGGCAACCCCTTTCGAAGGAGAACATGGTGGCCCCTGGCAGTCATTCTACCTAAGAAACTGCACCGCAGCGTGAAATTCGGTTCATTTCAAGCTTCTATCAATATTTAAGGACATCGAACTGCGTAGCACATCATGCACGAGGCAAAGTAGAAGGGTTCTACGTGCGAAGGCAGTGACAGATTGCTGAGGAACTGACGCATTAAGGCCCGCCAGAACACTTTTTGCGACGCTTTATCCATATATGCGGGAAAAGTCTCTTGAGGCAGCAGGTTTGCCAACCAAGAAGTGATGCAAGCTAAACGGGCCTACCGCTTGGCAGCGCCGTGCCGATGGTCCAACAAGAGTAGAGCGGTATGGCCGTACTTCTAAATGCCAAAACTACTAAAGAAAACACGATACATGCCCCATATTGATAATCAAGTAATGATAAAGCTGGTTTCAAGTGGAAGATTGGCAACCTTGTGAAACAGGACAGCAGCCTACGAATCGGCGATGGTCACCGTGGCTCTGACAACGCCAAGGCCTAGCGGTGGGTCCGAAGATTGCGCGTTGGACTTGAGCAACGCTCTAAAATTTCTGCTAAACACAAGCAGAAAAGTGTATTTTAATTTGGCAAATCTGCTGTAGGAGGCTGGAGAGACGCAGAAAATTGTTCGTTGGGGACACCGACGGCAGTGAATGCTGGTGGAATGTGGCTGTCCCATTCTTCCCGCAGCAGTTGGTACGCGAACAAGAACGCCCTTCGGGAAAATCAGCTTCTGCAATCTGATCCATGTTTATTTGCTTTTCCTGTAGCATTCGCTGCTTGAGTTTCTCAACCTGCCGAACTATCGCCGAGCGCGGAGTCCAGGCCACAGCGCTGCCAATGTTGTCGGGGTAGTTCTCTCTGCACCCGATAAAGTGGCTAAGCCTACAATCTTGAAACGAGGTTCCAGCAAACGCTGCTTTGTAGAAGCTTACTCGGGCACAAATCTGTGTCCCTGGCCTGGTTCGGGGGGGAGCTGCGTTGCCAAGGGCATCAACGGCTGCAGTAAAAGCCAACGCGTTTCAGCGTGCTGTTTCTTCAGTGTGTAGCGTCTTCTTAGCTGGGCCACTTCTCTACACAGACTAACCTACCCTGTTCCACTCCCCCGGTCCTCGCGGAGGAATACCCAGCAGCGCTGGGACGGCAGCGACAATGAAGCTCTTTCGCCTCAAGTCGATAGTAGCCGGGGGAACGATATCTCTCGCCTTCGCTTCAGCAGAAAAAAGTCTACCACGTCAGAATGGCAAGAGCCAGACTCGAGGAAACTCGGATGGTGCGCATTTGCTGTCTTCGACTGTGTTGTGATTTGCTCCAATGCTGTTTCACGAAGCCACCGGAAGGTTTCGGTTATTTTTCTGTCGTATGGCATTTGATCCAGGCTTTCAAGATGAACTGAAACTGTATCTACTAGATATTCCTCTACGACCCTCAAGAGGGCTGGAGCTCACGGAGCCGTCATCGGGTATGCGAGCCAATGGCCTGCCCCAACTGCATTATCTCCCTACAAATATTGCTACTACGATGATTCCCTTCACTCCACAATTTTGGACCTTTAGCATAAAGCTGGTATATAACAACTTGCGTTACTGCTTCATTTGCTCAGTTGCTACTGCGGAGTCGAACATGCAAGTATTATTGGAAGTTCTTGGGGATAACGAACTGCTGAGAGGCCTTGACGGTAAGTTTGCACAAGCCATATTTTCCTGCTGGCCACCTTTTCAAATAAGTCGCCTTTACTTGCCCTTCTTTGTTTTTTACATCTCGGAACCTATTTGGGAGCTCTAGCTGCGTGCCTTGTCTGCCCGTACAGAAGCGAAGAGGCAAGCGTGCGCTCATTTGCAGGCCACAACCTGTCCAGAGTACCTCAAAAGCCCCTCATGTGACAAAGTAAGCATTAACGAACTACGGGACTTGCTGATGCAAGCAGACTCTCAAATCAGTTCTGCGGAAGGGGCTCCAGCAGCCTGTGCCGACGCTCTCCGCCGCGGACTGATGCTTCTTGACATCCTTGCCATAAAAGAGCCACTCGAAGTGTTTCAGAAACAGCCCTCTGCAGGACCACGCCATGCCCTGAATCGCCTTTTCTCCTCTCTTAACATGGCCTTTAAAGGGGGTGTACAACAATCAGGTCAACAACAATCCACTGAAACCGTCATACCGACAAGCAGCAGCCACAGCTTCGCTGAAGAGTTCATCGAAATGTGAGGGCGTATCGTGTCTCATAATCTGTGGCAACATAGCTGCAACCCCTTATCTTTTGGCCTAATCAGAACATATGTTTTTGGGGCCCCTACTCGTGTGCGCAGGCAAACATCCAAGAACAAGTCGAAAACAGACCCAGAATCCCCAAAACGGGTTGCCACTTTTGTAGGCAGTCTGGTGGGGATCTTTAGCACCTTTCCAGGATCCTACCTTGCATTTGCAGGAACCGGTGGCCCAATTGGTAAGCTCTTGCCTAAGATAGGGAAGGTGCAGTTGTCAATTGTTTTCCGGTAATATTGGAGCAATGTACAGGGGCGGGGGGGAGGGGGGTCGTTTGAGTTCACAGATTCACATGGGTTAATGCACTTCTGAAACGGTAATATTATGTGCCGTACTCGGGACGGTAAGAGAACAGATGACTATTATTATCCCCAGCGATTGCTCTCAATGGTGGCACGCCTATCTTGCGCAGCCTCCCTAATAATCAATTGGTTCGCTCAAGCCATTGCACGTTTCGATGAGTTCTTCGGGGAAACGGAAGGTGACCGACGCCCGTTAGCTCCTCTTCGGAAGCTCCTGACCAGCGGCCATGAGCACAGGCTTACCCATTTATACAGGATGTGCGGTACTGTGTTGGGATCCCGGCGGAAGAGTTCTAAACTCATCCCAAGCATTTTAGCCCTTCCCAGAGAGCACTTTACACGAAAGTCCCTACTTGTAGGCGTCCCGCGCATCTCCTGTGACCTGATGTTCCAAGCCACCTTTGCTTTGCATCTTGGTAAGAAATGTGTAGAAACAAAACTGGAGAGGCCGTAGCTCCTGGGGCTTCGTTGCGGAGGCTGTCAATGAGAACGCTGGGGGGTCACCATTTATCTTGTTGGATCTCTTTGATATCGCGGCAGATTTTCGCAAATCGGCGTTGCATCTGTGTACTGATATGATTCACAGCGGAGATGCATGCCATTGAGCATGTAAATAATCTGCGGCAGATGCTCCCGCCAGAGGGACTGGAGTACTCTATGCCTTTAGAACTGTATGCTGGAGGACGGGTAAATATCCGACGGCTTTGCATGAGCTTCAGGGCACGCCGTGGTGCAGAGTTACCACTGGATATGCCATGTTTGTACGATGACACTGTTCTTGCGAGCTTGGAGGCAAGCGCCGAGAAGAACGGCGCTGCTGCCGCAGAAGATACATCCTTGCTGGAGTCTGCCGCGACTGCCCAACAAGAAGTGCCATCGAGGGAAGGCAACCACAACGCTGAATTGGACTTTTTACTGCTTAGTCTGAGAGGCGGGAATCAGGAGGCAGCCGCACACCTCCTAGGCAATGATTCTGGGCCGTGTAAGCATACCTACTGGCCGTGCACCCCCACAAAGAAGTACCAGCAGAGCACTGGCAATAAATTTCATGCTTGCTTCGCTTTCGTCCGCAGGGTGGGATCTACTGTATATGATTGACTCAAGGACTTCCCCGCAGATTTTGAAGAGTTATAGACAAGGCAAGCTATGTTAAGGGCATCTGCAAGTATAGAGGAGTAAAGCAAGCAACAAAATACGGTGGAGACTTGCGGGAAACAAGAGCTGTCCTATTTTAATCCCATCCCTGTGCGGCTCAGGAGCAGCGTTGTGCAAAAAGGCTGTCAAGAAGCTAGGTTCGAGAGCTGCCAACGCCAGCGAAGAGAGCATTTTGTGCTCCTCAACCTGGCAAAAGGGTGTCTGGGACAAGCAACTTCACTGCCAAGCAAAGCTCGTCAGCTTGCACTGCGCTGCGTTGGAAAGCTTGTTCGGAATTTTTGAACACGGTAAGCTGCATGCGTGTAATTTGGGGTGGCAATCGCTGGCGTCGATAGCCAGTGTTGAACTGCCACTGCCTCACGCCAAAACGCTTGCGACGACTGGTTTGCTTGAGTTTCAGGACTTATTGGCCCAATTGGCGACTTGCTAAACACTATTGCTAAAGAAGCTGCTTGTGGAAGTGCCTCTGCAAAGTGTCCTAAAAAGGCAGTGACCAAGCAAAGTCCCCTGAAGATAGTTGGCAAGGAACCGACTGTGCTGTCTCGGTTCCTTCCGCAAGGTCCGGTTGGAGAAGGCATTTTTCGCATATTTTTCTTCCTCAGTGGCAACAAATGGAAAAACAGCAAAGAACTCATAAAATGTGACGGTAAGTCCCCTGGGGGGCGTTTGTGGAAGACAGCTTGGCTAGCTGCATCAGCTCCACTCCCAAGCATCCCGTGGTACTTTTTTGTGCCTTTCGGTGCCGTTTTTCTCCCTGCAGATGGTGTAGACAACTTACTCCACAACTTTGCAGCGCTAGTGTCGCAACGTGCGACGTCCTTGCTCTTCTCCCGGTGGCTGCCGCGTACCGTACGAAAGCTCGTGAAAAAATATCTCGTCCGAAATTATTCGAGGCGGCACTTTCGCTGTAAGTAAATAAAGATTATCCACATTTCCAACTCCATTCAGCAGCCAGCCCGGCGACACGTTTTCATTTACATCGATTGCTGCATGATATTTATTTATTTTTTTGTGCTGGTAATTCTGAGGAACGTGGGTAGACACAACACTTTGGCAAGATACTTTTGCTTGCGCTTGTTCAGTCCTCTTGTCGAAACTGCCCTCTGGCTTTTACTTAAAGCTTCGCTCGTGCATCGATATCCTCGTCCACCCGTTCGTCTTCCTCCATCTGAATCAGCTGGCGTTCACTGGCTCAGAGCTGTCAGGCGCTCGAAGTCCTGCTGGCGGTCTTTCAGAAAGGCTTGATAGTCTCATAGCTGAGACCGCTACAGAGGGACTTCCACAGCAATTAAAGGTTTGCTTATCTCCCATTTGCTCCTATACGCAAGAAAAGCCCATATGCACACAATGCAATAGTATGACTTCGGCAGTTTCAGCTCCATCAAGTGTCCGTCCGAACTGCCACTTCAGAAAAAGCTTCAAGCGGGGCAAAGGACGAGCATGAAGGATTTCAATGGGATCAACTTTGCTCGTGTTCATCCGCCAAAGCCAAGAACCTGGCAGGAATACCTTAAATTGGAGCTCGAAGACAGCATGATTACTTGGTTGATGAAGCCTGGTAGTAGAGAAAGGATAGAACACGAATGCAGGGGAGGCAGAGGATCTAATATCGTCGCTCTCTTTAGGGATAGTTTGGACCTTCTAAGGAGTTCCGACACTGAAAATCTCACGTTGATTGGAAAAGTCGTCAGTCCAAAAGAGACTTCTGTTGGTAGGCCATCGGGGTTGAAATCCTTTGTGAATAAACTACTGAGGCTTCCACCGTACAAGGCCCGGCACCACTCCTTTCTTGCAATTAACGTCCGTATTCCTGAGGCTATTGAGTTGGTGCGGACCTTGGTCGGCATCTACACACAGAATAAGGGAATGTTTGACAACCAAGAGGTCTTCATGACAGCCGTAGTTGACCTCTTTGCGCACTTTGAAGAGAAGAACAGAATGACCTCCGGGGGACCCCTTGGAGTAAGTTATTTTTGTATGGCGAACAAGGATAACGCTACAGCGCTGGCAAGTTCATGTTGGGTATGTGTCTCTCGAATGCCTGTATCTGGCTAGCAGTTAAGCAAATGCATGCATCTATGCTATCCTACAGGTTCCACATAGTGTTCTGGCGCCACCACTGCACCGACAATACGCGTCACTGCCAAAAGTCGATCGAATCAGAGAACTCAGTGAAAGCGCAATGAGCCACTTCTTCCGCCACATATGGACACTCATATTCTCTGTTTCCGCAAACAACATCATGAACGCGGGGAACCTAGATGGCCTTGAGAAGACATTCTCCGATGAGGCATGGAAAGTCTCAGTCAATGACCCGTTTCAGGCAAGCTACATGGCACTAGCGCTCAACAGCTACCCCGCAAGCGTTTCAACTCGGTATCCCCCAAATATCGGAAAACCCAGTGTCAGCTCTGCTCTTGCCTTCGTCATATTTGCAGGCAAGTTCGTTTGGCATGGTCTTGATGGGCGGGGATTTAGGGCTACGGCTCTTCAATCAGATGCTTCCTACAACGCAAAAGAGGATGCTGAAAAAGGCACAGTACGGATCCCCCACTGTTTTTACCAGTCAGGTGCAACTAACAGGCAGCTTGCTTTCTGCTAGCGGCCACCAAGGTCTCGGGATGTTCTTGCATGCCCAGTCGGTGTACTTGGGGTTAATGATCAAACAATGGATTAAAAAGCGCAAAGAAGATAGAATCCGTGAAATAATTTCCTGGCTGACGCTGGGCTTGTTCTTCGCTTCTTCTTTGGTTCGGTAAGTTCCTGGGTATTCTGTGCATACCTTCACGCTATTTCTTCTCTAGAGACTCAAAATTACAAAAAAAAATCCCTTTGCAAACAGTATTTCCACGTGGCACTCATTAGCAGTCGTATTGCTATTTGACAACTTATTGCGGTCTTGCAGAGTCACGGAAGGGGTCACAGAGATCGCCAACACTGGAAATGAAACGGGGCAAGCCAGCATGACAACAGGGTGTCCCCCAATAGGCTTATGCATGGACGACAACGGCAATGCGTTCGTTGGTAGTCCAACAGGCTCGCCTGCATTGACCGCTTTGCAAGCTGTCATGAAGACTGGGATCATGGCGAGCATCGCCATATTTGCTGGTCCTCTTATTGCCGTCCACAACATAGCCGTTTCTCAATTCCTTATTCTTAGTCGCCTGGAGATGGTGAGTAGGAAATGTATGAAGCAGCGGTACAGCACTTCCTCGACTGTTGCTCTTTTTAGTAGTCCTTACTGTAAGAACCCATGTATCTGCTGGCACAAAGGCGCAAGTAGTTCAAGAAGTGTCTGCACCATGCTGTTTCAGGCCCTCGGAAATACTTTCAAGCAGTTGATAAGTCGGATGGCGAAGAGCAAAGCCATTACAAACATCAAGGAATTGTTCTCAACACCACAGGATCGGAAGAAGTTAAGAGAGAGTGCAGCTCAAACGACCGCTAGTCTCGGCGACGAAGTTGAGCAGTCGTTAACTGCTTTCTTCCAAGGACACGAGCGGCAGAGGTGCCAGCGATAATAATGCGCATCATTAGTTCAACTTGACTCTAGTATCCACGATATCCCCATCCTATAAAGTCGTCTTTAGGGTCTCCTGGCTCTAGTTACGTTTTGTTTTAAAAGTGCAAACAAGCAGCTCCTCACCTCGCGTTCACTTTAGTTCGTTATTTTTCTAAAGCAGCACTCGCTGCCACATTTTTTTTGCTGGGAAACAAATCCCCATATGCATTACTAGCTAACCAACCGAACGTACATTTTGCACACCGCCCACAATCAACTTCATAAGCACAGAACGCATGCAAGTGCACTCCATATCTACGTATTAGCCACCAAACTAACCATGCTAACACTGCGCAGTGGACTGACGTGGCATCAATCCCTTGGACTAGTTTTTTCTGGTACACCGGATGTACAATTGCACGAAAAAAAAGCTACATACAGGAAAGCATACCAAAGTGTTCAAGCACTTCAAAACACACCCCAGTACTAGCCACTAAACTAACTAAACTAATACTGTGCAGTTGGTACACGGGAATTGATGTCAAGTCCCATAATTACAGGAAAAAAAGCTACATGCAGGGAAGCACGCCAAAGTGTTCAAGCGCTTTAAAACGCACCCAGAAACTTGCAAGTCGAGTCTCTTGCATGAGAAAGGAGCACCAGAATTCGCAGGGGTTCTAAAACCGATAGGGATCTAAATTTAGTGACAACCTATGATCGAGTGCTTGTCCGATAAAGAGAACACACAGCACAAAAGTAAACAAAAGGGCTGTTTCGAAAGAGCCGACACAGCAAGTGCCGGCAAGTGGAAACCAACAACCGAAGGCGCAACGCTTCGTAAACGACGGGGAAAAATCCCAAGGACGCCACGACAGGGCAAGCCAGCATCCTCTCCAGCCTATGAATTCGTTAAGGCGCTTTCTCCATCCAGTCCCGAGTTAACCGAACCCCGAATGATCTGCTTTTGGCCTTGGCGGGTTCAAACCTGTTCCTCCACAGGAGAACTAAGCACCACTTACCGCAAAAAATTGGGGTGTCCCACTGTGTGTTGAAGGCACCCTTGTAGTACGCCTCATATGTCAGTTCCCATTAAACAGAGAATAAGCTACGTTTCAATGCTAAATTCGGGCAGTTCCCCTCCACCGCGTCGCAACCAACCCTTTGTCCACTGGCATTGGGATGCTGCTGTATGCATGCAACTACGTAAAGCGTTACTTCATCCGCAATCAATTTCTTCTGTCCGTCTGCAGCTATCCAATTCGTGCGCCGTTACGTTCATTCATCTGTTGCACAAGCGCCGCACAAGGAGACAGATTCTGGAAAGCGGCAGCTACCTCGGTATCACTCCTTAAATGATTGCTGCTAAGTAGTTGACCAATTATCGCCGTCGAAATGGTCTGAAAACTACATCAACGTATGCAATACACTACGTTACCGTCTTTGCATTAGACGTACCATCCCATTCTGCATCTTGCGCTGCGTCACCTGCATGCGAAGGAAAACAGCATATGCATACACGACTGAACGTTGCAGACGATAGTAAGCAAACAGACGCTACTACGAACTGCCACCAAATATGGGATCCTCTCAACAGATTTGTATGCCACAAGCAATCAATTGCAAAAGTCAATCTCCGAGACAGACCCTTCGTGTGCAACAGCAAGTACAATTGAGCCAGCCAGTGGCCCTCACCTTCCGCATGAATTTCACCTGTTGCATCATCTGGAGTACTTGCGTAGTCGTCGAAATCAACTGAGATAGCTGACTCGGCTCTCGCTGGTCGGTCGGTTCCCCCCACTGTCTCATCTATCGGGGTTTCCGATGGGGCGCTCTGGACAGACGGCCTGTCGGAACCAAAAACGCAAGGAGAAATGTGAACAGCCAACTGGAAGGGAGCATGAATCACTTACACAGCCCGCAGACGGCCTGGCTCTCACTCGCTCTTACAGTACCGAGTTCAGGCTTCCGCTTACACAGTACTTTTCCTGTAGTACATCCCGCCAGCAGCTCCACAAAGAAGAAGGGCTGCAACAATCCCTAATGCAGCGTACAGCGCCACGTTACTTCCCTCTGAATTAAGCATACACAACATGCATTCATACGATCCAGGCTAGCTCCTGTCAAGCTATACTTCCGACCACTTCTCGCGCCTCTCTAAAATCAGTTGCACCAAAGAGGGCACAACCAAAAATTCGCCTTTCTAAAACGGGGGGCTGACCTTCGACACGCGCAAGGCAACATGCCTCTTCCTCCGTTGCACCAAGAGAGTCTCTAACACACTGTTCTTTGTCCTCTCCCAGCTTGTCCTTGCACTCTTTCGTCAAGTACTTGCAGCATGTTGAATAGCAATCAATGGCGCACTCTCCTTCACTATCCCTTATGATATGGCCCCCCACTTTGCAGATTTCGCTGCACTCTGGGGACATGTCTGCGCAGTCCTCGCCTGTGTAGCCTGGCTTGCAAACGCAGGTGGATGTTTCAGAGTTGCAAGTGGTGTTCCCCGCGCACACCGGTCCACCTTCACCGCAGGGTCTTGGTACAGTGCACTCGTCTCCCCCCCAGCCAGGCGGGCATCTGCACTCGCCAGTTGTTGGGTCGCACTTCCCATCGTTGCTGCAATGCACGTCTGAGCACACGTCCTTGCAGTTGGGAGCTGGAAATTCTGGAGCGCATTCGCAAGCGTTCGAGCTGTTGCAAACACCGTTGGGCGCGTTGCAGTCACTGTCAGATTCGCAGCAATTGCTTTCCAAAATCTCGCAGTTGAACCCGCTGTAGCATTTGGGGCACCTGCAGTGTCCCGTCAACTCGTTGCACTCGCCGCCGTTCAAGCAAGTGACCCCAGCGCATCCAGTGTTATCGCATTTGTCTCCCGTAATAGAAGGGGCGCACTGACAGTTGTTGTACACGCACGTGCCTTGTGGAGCATTGCAGTCACTGTCCGTTTCACAGCACCGAGGGTTCTCAGACTGACAGAGATCCCCCGAAAAACATGCTGGGCATTTGCACTTGCCCGATGGCATCTCGCACTCGCCCCCGTTCTCACAAAGGACTGTATCGCAAACGGTGGTTTCGCACCGCGACCCCAAATAACCTTCTGGGCAGCTGCAGACTCCGCTGGGCATCTGACAGGTGCCGCCGTTCAGGCACGCCACATTGTCACAAACTCCAGTCTCACACATTGGGCCGCTGAATCCCGCATTGCACTTGCACTTATTGCTGTCGCACGATCCATGCCCGTTGCAATCTGCGTCTGAGCTGCAACACTCTGAAACTGGAGTCTCACAGTTGGCCCCTGTAAAGCAAGGAGGACACTTGCACGTACCGTTGGGGAGTTCGCATGTGCCACCATTTTTGCATGGGTTAGAGGAGCAAGGCCCCTGGAGAATAGCTTCTGCAGGGGGTTCTTTTGCAAGATTGGGATCAGAAGCACTTAGCGCAGTAAAGGAGATAGCCCCGTTCACCGTAAAGATGCAAGTTGGCACTATAGAATACAGGTTACAGGTGCCCTTCTGGCTGTTGCCTGACCCATCAGGAAACCACGAAGACCAAAATGTCGATGAGCTGCCCGTTCCTCCCACTCCAGGTGGGCTGTCGTCGCTGCTAGCCTCGAAAACGGCCTCTCCACACTCTCCTGCAGTCCCTGTAGAAGAGGATGCCACTTCCAGCTGAGTACATATTCCGCCTGAAATGGTCCCAAACATGACGTTCTTCAGAGGCTCCCTCGGCGCTGCAACGAAGCAACAGTAAAGCCACGCACGCAAACATCGAAAGAGCTGAGCTGGGGTTGCCCCTTCTGCATAGACACGCCACAACTCCGCAGGTTGCTCTGCCAAATCCTATTGCAAAAAGGGATACGTGAATATGCGAACAACACAATAACACTATGCGGAAACGAAGTCCAGGACTGCTGCTTACGGCAAGCTGTTTCGTAATCGGGTCTGGTAAACGCCGATACATATGTGTAGTTGGAGGAAGCAACAGTCTTGTGAGCCTTCACACAGTACTTGGCGTTTGAATCCGTCGCTGTCTTGACGGCGCAATTACTTCCCATATATGTCTGCGTGTGGTATCCAAGGATAAGACACTCAGAGGTGGAATGGTTGAAAACGGCAGGCAAGCTACGGTAGCAGGGCCTGTTCATGTCCCATGGCCAGCACATGCTGGTGCAACGAGATAACTGAGAACAGAGGAAGGGATCGTTAGCGATGTTGGGAGATTTCATAGAACGCGTCTTCTGAGGAGGTGAATAGGGAGGACAGCCGACACCGTTACCAATGAAGTCGTATCCCTGGTGCCCTCCCTTGCCGTGGAAGGCATAGGCTTTGTCGGCCAGGGACGTTCCTGGCAGTGAGGGATCAAGGAACACAAGAGGATTGCTTAGCGTGACAAAGCGGCAGACATCAGGATCGTACTCGCCGTCCTGCAGCATGTCATTTTGATAGACAGCCTGATTAAAGGGACATTTGACCAAGTACCCAGAATACATACTCCATCCTGACTTGTCCATGGGCACTTCAGATGTCCCAGGGGAGGCGGAAGAGGAGCAGCCCTGAGTTGAGAAAGGCATCGTGTTGCCATGAATTTCATTTGTGAACCGGTCCTGATCGTCCACTGGCTTTCCAGTCCTGTCCACAAATGCGATGTACTTCCCATAGTTAGGGCAGGCTCCCACAGCCATGAGCCGCTGGCCTAAATAGCGCTGAGTGTCTACCTCTGCGTCGCTTCGCGTGCAGTAACCCTTCCTGGACCGATCCCACATTGTCGCATAACCCACTTTGACTCCCGCTGTCTGGTTACCTGCATAGAGACACCCACGCGAGAAACCCACAACAATTAATCCCGGAATATGTAGCGAGTACTCTACCATTAAGCTAACAACCCCCCCAAAAGAATTTGAAAATAACAAGGAATACGGAAACGGAAGCCCTAGAAAGCGATAACCTAATTGCATTTACACCTAATACCCAGCCCTCAGTCCACTAACTATCATCCCCTGCAACCGCTTTCATATTCCCGCTGGATATGCAACTGCTTTCAATCCTTGCATATGCGAAGGAACAAGTTCATCCTCCAACGCCTTACGTGAAATCCACTTGTACGTAACCCCTTTGTACGCATAAGACTGCAGGTCAGAACCGGCCTTGGCCCATTCCAGCTGGATATGGTTCGCCGGAATATTAAATCGGTTCATGTAATCACGAGCAGCATCCCCACTGTGTACTGTGTGAGAAGAAGAAGGGATTGAAGAGAGTGTGAAACTGAGGAAAAGTGGAGCCAGAAGGCCGAAAAGTCGAACGAATTGACTCATTTTGACCAGGAAATTGAAGTTAGCAAAGAAGATGAAGAATCAGGGAAGAGTCAACTCCATATGGATCTAGCACTAGAGAACTCCGCTCTCTGCACTGGTGGCTCTGATCGGCAGCACTAGGCAGCAGCGAGGCCTGAGGCGCCTGTGCGGGAAGCCACAGGAGTGATGGAATGACTGCTGAGTCGCCGCTTGGTCGGTTGCCGGGATGGAGATTTCTGACGAAGGAATAGCTCAAATCGACGTCGTTCGGCTTGGCATCACGATGCGGCAGATGCGACTCGGATGGAGCTGGGGGAACTGGAACGAGCAAGCAGCACACCCAGAGCCAGCAAGAATCCTAGGGGAAGGTAAAGCGCTGTGGCGAAAACAGACAGTGTGGGAGGAGAGACCAGAAACCTCTGTGCACGTGCAAAGGCCATCCGAGCGAAGCTCAAGGAAGTCTATAAAAAAGGCGCCCAGAGCAAACCGGTGCAGAGACGAAAAATGAAGAGAAACAAAGATAAGGTGGCCTTTCGCAACAAGTGAATTGTTAACGGGGGAGGACCCGGAAGTCTGGTGAGGAGGACTGATGAAGACCAAACCGGTCGCTTCAGTGAGCGATGCGTACAGGAGGACTGTGCGCACGGCAAGCAGCGACGTAACTAAAATTTGAAAAATGAATACACAGCCCTGGAAAAGAAACACCAAATTCAGGCAGTCGTCTGAAAGGAGAAGCCCTGCTGCAGCTGCGTCAATAGCTAGCCGCCGGCTAGGAATACAACTCGGGGAGTCAACGGTTTTCTTCGAGCAGAGTTGACACCACTCAGTTGAACATATCGATACTGTCGCGATGTATCTTCATCAAGAAAAGGTACCGTGCTTTCACGCCAATGAACAGCAAAAGATGACCGCTAGCTTTGCCTTGCATGCAAGAACGATTCCTGTGCGCATGCACTTGCCGCCCGAGCATGAATACGCATCTTTCCCCCCTTGTATATATCTTCGACCTCTCTCCAGTTGTGAAAAAAGACCTCTTTTAGCGGCACATTAACCCTCTGGGGTTATTCTCAGCTCCTCCTTCCGGGTGGAGTCTCGATACTGCTCACGGCAACTCACTCGCAACCGGCCTGTATGCTCATTGAAATAGAACGTCCAAAACATTTTGCACTGTGTAGAGGCATTGCAAATTGTTCGAATGGACGTGAGATTATTGGAAGTAAGCGAGATATGTTGGTGTGGTTCCTCTAGCATTGGGCACCAGAGCAATACCTTCGTCTTGTCGGTCACTGAGACCTGAATAAATGTGGTGTTCAAAAGGCACTCAGCGAAAGAAATGCGTTCAAAAGGCACTCAATACAAACGCTGTGTACGTGGTGCCCACTGCGAGCCTTCATGGCGGCCAACTTCGTCAGCAGAGAATGACGAACCCAAGGGGATGGTCGCATGCACAGGGCCGTACACCGCATTAATTCTATCAACTCGACTCTACGCAGCAGTGGCAGAAATAATCAAAGGAGGCAGAGCAAGCAACCATGCAGAAACTCGCAAGTGCTGGAATGTGTAGACTGCCTAGTTGCCCTGCAGTATCTTCCCCCCTAGCCGCCCACTATGCATCCCCAAGAAACGAAACAGTGCCTATTTACTAAACAACCGACCACTTTGGCTGCTAAACCATCTTGCCACTCTGGGACGGGCTATTGCTCTACACTATAACCGATGTTCCGAGCAGCCTATTGTTTGCTTTGATTTACTGCCTCAGGTTTATCCACGTGAGGAAAGTGTTATTTGGCTGCTGCTCTGTGTAGCCATGCTGCGCATTGCCCTCAGTAGAGGCTGTTACGTACGTTGTAGGCTGGAGGGTAAACACTACCTGGCTCTCCTAAATCTTCAACCCTAAATTCTAAGCAGTAAACCGCGGCAACTGAGTAAGTGAATGCAAGCCAAAAGTAACGAGTCAAATTCCCTTTGCTCCAGGTACCCAAATGGGGCTTGAGCAGCTTTAAGGCTCGGGAAACTGCGGCTGCAGTAGTCGCTGCCCTGTGGCAAGGATTGGGCTGTATAATGTTCGATTGGCAACGCCTTCGCTGATGCGCCGGTTCTTCACAGCCGTTGCCTGCAGCGTTCACGGCGTATCCTGTGACATCGGCGCTCGATCCGCCTTGTTGTGGGTGGCGTCTTCTGCTCCTCTGAAGGCGAGACCTTGGAGCGCTCTCTCCGCTCGTTGAACTGCTCGGCAAGTATTGGGTGTACCGACCGCTGCCAAGGTAGTCCCCCTTGGCCGGGTCGGTGTGGCTGCTGCTGCCGCGTCGGCAGCACTCAGGAAAGAAGAGGCAACAGTGAAGCCTGAGGCGCGTCTGCGGGAAGCCACAGGAGAGATAGATTGACTGCTGAGTCGTCGCCTGGCCGGTTGCCGGGATGGAGTGCGGCTGGGGTTTCTCGGTAGCTGCTGATGGCATGACAACGCTTCCTCTGCCTCTCTAGCGTCACCGCACACGCGAGACCGCCGGGCAGGTGACCCCTCCCTAGAGGCAGTTGGTGTTCCGGAACCAAGACATCGGGGGGAGCGCATCGGGGATTGCTTTTCCTGCAACTCTTTCAAGCTGTGTCGGAATCCCAGGCGAAGGGAGGCCCCGTCAGGAAGCGCCACATCCCCGCTAGAAGCTGCACAGGCATTTCTGTCGGGTGGCAAGAAGGTGAAGAGGGACTGTAAACACAATTGCATATGGCTTAACAAAACAAAAGCTCAAAACCACCTTCCCGAACCCGCTAGCCAACAGACAAACAAGCTTACACAAAAACTGGCAAATGGTCTACTGATGGCCACAGGCATCTCCGTACACTTCGTACAAGACAAGTCAAGCACAGCAAAACAGGCCAATGATCGCAGTACGCGCTACGTAACTAGAAAGTCACTCGGCGTTGTGTAGGCAAGGAAATAACACCACACTATCTGTTCATCTGCATGCGCAACTATATGTGTTGTACAGTTCTGACGACGTAAACCTGCGTGAATCAGCTCATTAGTAATCCCATTTTGCTGCTGGCTGTTGGCAGCTCTGCGGGAGTTGTAAAGAGTGAAGTGCATTAGGCAACCTTGGTCCCGGACCAGTCAGCAGCCTTTGTCCCGGAACAGTCTGGCATTCATGCATAGCTCTACGGATGTAACCTCCGTGTTTTTCTAGGCATGTTGATGCGTGCGCTCGTTTGGTGTGTTTGTTCGTGTGCTGATGGGGGTGCTTGCGTGCGAGGAGACGATTCCTGCATTCCGCAGGCAGCGTGACAGACCCGATCTTGTTTGCGCTGGTGAGTGAGTCTCATGTAAATATCTTTTCTTAGAGCTTTTGCGTCTTCTGCACCAGACGTTGCTGCCAGCTGCTCCAGCCACTTGTCTCTCGACAGCTCTTCTTCCTTCCGCTCGCCCTCGTCGTACCCCAGCAGCAGCAGCCGCTGTGCGCGCGTCAGGACACCGGACGCGGGCTGCAACAGCTGCTGCTGCAACTGCAGCCATTGGTTCTGCCCCTCGAATGGCAGCAAAGCCACCAGCAGCAGGCTTTGCACTGTCAGCGGCTGATGCCTGAAGCAGAGTAACAGCCCCTGTGCGCCGATGAAGCATAAATTGGCAGTTAATACCAGCGGCTTCCCTAACCGAAGCAGTGCAACAGCAGCCCAGCGGTGTCTCCTCACGGTCACTCCCTTGTTGTGAGCCTCAATGGTGCTATCTTCTCTGTCACTTACCACTTGGAAAGCCGCAAATGGGTGGTGCGGAATGCACGCAACTGCTCCAATAGCATGTGGTCGTCTTCTGCAACCCCCTTATCTACACTTTGCTTCTGCTTTGGCGGCCCTTGCTCTCGTTGCAGTTGCTGCCTTTCCCCCCAAATTTCTCCCCACGTCGAATGTTCAGGTCCAAGATCTTCTAGTACCTGCAGTTGTTGCCGTCGCGCTGCTAGGTGGAACAGCACCATATCCTGCTGCTTTTGCTGTTGTTGCTGCAGGGCCTCTGCTGCAGCACTGTAACGCTTCCTGCTATTACTGCGGCATCGTGGGGTCCCAATGGAACTCCGTCTGCTGCTGCGAGGAGTCCTCTGCGCAAACTCGGCGGCAGCTGCCGCAGCTCTGGTATAGTCTATGGATGCTTGCTCATCTTGCCGTTGCAGTTGCTGCAGCACAAGCTGTTGCTGTATGCGCACATGACGCAGCAGTTTGTGTTGCTCCTCTTTCTGCTGCAGCTGAGGGGCTAGAATCTGCTCTCGCAGCCACCTCCGGTGCCGCTGCTGTCTTTCTTTCCAGTCTGTCTTTACGTACACGTATGCAGTTCGCCCCTCGGAAGACACCCACATGCTGCTGCTGATTTGGTGCCTTATCTCCGCACCTTTCAAATCAAATCGAGATATCAAGTCTGTGAACACGCCGAGGACAGGAATATGTCAAAAAATGTGCGCTTGCACAGGAGAGGATAGAAGCAGGAGTCAGCTGCCGCAGAATGCCTATCTTGGTCACCGTATCGCTAAGCCGCATCTCAGGGTACTGAAGCATTACGGAGGGGACAGAGAGCAAGTGTGAACTTTGTTGCAGTAGGGTGTAGTATTTGCTTCGTTGCATGCTAGCCCCCAGGCGTTCCTTCCTTCGGCTCTGCCACGCTCAGCCTGATCCGTTCGCGCTGACTCACCGTTCCTAAAGGAGAGGTAAAACCACCACGTCTCCGTCTGCATGAACATGTGCGTAATGCTGCATACCAGCGACGCCCCCGACAGCAGAAGCAACAGCAGCAATCCACAAGCAAGCAACATCTAGCAGTAAGTAAGTCTACAATTCAGTGCACAGCCATGGCAGGCGCCACGACAGGGCGAAGCAGTACCGTTGCTCCCACTCAAGACGGAGCAACGATTTGTGCAGTGAAAGAGGTGTCGGCACAGCGGAGCATGGGTGGCGGATGAAGTGGTGTTTCATGCATCGGGGGGAAAACTGAAGAAAGAGAGGGGATTTCATTTACAAGTTAATCAGAGGCCCCTCCATGGCGGCATCGAAGGAGTAGGCGTGGGTAACACCTTCTAAGTCCAGGAATGCCGAGAGGTCATCGTGGGCAAAGGCCACGGCGCGCATAGGTCTAGCCTGAAACAATTCCTGAATATCTTTGGTCAGAGCACTTTCTGTCCCTGCATCTCCCTTCTCCACCTTAGCACTCGTCGCTGTCTTGACACCCGGATCTAGAGCCCGATCCCTAGCCCGCAGCCGCGCCGACGCCTCCCGCAGAAGCAAACACCGCTGCGTCTCCAGCGACAGCCCAAACGCCTGTGGGCACTTCTCTATCCCTGCATGCAACAACCAATGAGGGAATGGCGAACGCATCATGCGCCCGCCGCGGAAACGCCCCGAATGTACACGTCAAAGAATCGCGGTAACACATACTAATATGCATATAACAACGTAGTGTCCCGAGTAGTACGCAACAAAAACACTAAGCAGCAACTAAGCAGACAACAAGTGCAAATGGCATTCGTAAACGAAAGCCCGCAGCATGGCTGTAGATGGTGCAGACGGAAACCTGCTACATGACCCCCTTAGAGCAGTGCGGCTTCTATCGTTGCGGCAACAGCTAGATGGGAAAGCATCACGACAGACGTAGCTGCGTACCCAGACAAGCAAGCCAGTCGTGTTCGTAAGCAGCAATCGCGCTAGGGGCCCCCCGTCCGCTGCCCAGATCGCAGAAGACACTGAACTGGTCGGCACCGTATTGCTTCGCATAAGCCACCACCTATACGGAACGCGCATACACCCCATAAGATAGTTGAGATGAGGACTTTACCAACTACAACAACAGACACGGCGCTCCCTTTGCATAAACGAGGACCAACACCCCATGGCTATGTCCGCACTCCACGCTGCCTTGCATAGCTGCTGCCGCAGCTGTCGTTTTTCCCTCAGACGCACAAACAGCCGGTGAGCGTGCGTCTATGCTTTCAGGATAGCTGATGCATCACCTGCTTGATGAAGCTTTCGATCATTTCACCGTACATGCCAGCGGTGGAGGTGGCAATTTGGGCGGTGTGGCCTCTGTACAGAAAGGCAGTGGGCTTGGCTGCATACGAGGCGGGATCGAGAGTGCGCGCATCAGCGGCAAAGGCGCTCGCAGAGGCGACGGCAGCCTCTGTCAGGTCACGCGCCGCTTTCGCAGCATCTTCTTCTGAGGGGCATTCATCTTTCCATGCAGAAACCAGGCACGACCGCAATGGCGATTCAGGTGCGATTTCGTGAGCAGGCGACTGCTTCCTCCGAGACTAATGTACACAAAAACAACAACAAAGGCAAACGCAGCTGCCATGCAAGCCCTTTGAATGAACTGGTTCGTTTGGACCTGCAGCAGTTCAGGAGGATTCCATTCTCCCTCCCCATTGTTCGTAGCAGGATAGAGAACCTCCTAGAGGCTAAAGAAATATGGGAGGAAACCAAACTCGCGAACGCGCCAAAACTTACCGGTGTGGCCCCCCCTTCACAGCGAGTACGTCGGGCCCCCGATTGCTGCCCAGCTCCGACGTACGGAGCCGAGCAGCAGGCAGCGGAGCGCCGGCGGCGCTGCACAGAAGCTGACGAAGATTGAGGATGCCGCCGTGGAGGCTCTGGTTGCGAGAGCGGGAAGGAAATGCCTTCTTCTTCCCACAGTCCTGGATCGTGCATCGAGGGCTGCGTAGACAGCTCACACATTCCCCCTTGCCCTTCCGCCTCCACAGGGAATACAGCTTCGCACGGTGCTCCCGCAGTTTCAACAGTAAGAGAACTCATCTGATCTCTGAAACCTGAATTACAGCCGATCTAGCGCACCTCCGTCAGGACCGGGCGCGGCTGTTCCGGGGCATCAGGCTGTCATCAGGAGTATTGAATACAATCAGAAGCACGTAGCAAGACAAAAGCAACAACCAAACGCCTGAAACAGGAAAAAAATTGCGATCCACAGGGGCAGCTCTGAAGTACTGCAAAACACGGTCTTCGCAGTGCTGCGGCTGGCGGGCGCCGAGGTCACGACCAGGTCTACAGTGACACGTCGGCACCGTTGCAAAAAATAGCCAATTAAACCTAAAACAATGTTTTGGAGTAGGAAAAGGGGAGTAACAATGTCGAGACACGGGGCTGGCGTGCTTCCCGGTGGTTGGTGGTTCCCGCCCGCCACCCGGGTAGTTTGAATCGTGTTCACGACGTCTTTAGCACCAGTAGTGCGCTCCGTTAAAACCAGACCTCTTATATAAAGATAATAAGGAAGCTGTTTTAACCAGCACTGCGCCCGCCTTCAAGGAGTAGTTACGGCACGCAAGTGCGCCTGGGCCTTCGTGCCGTCAAGAATTGCGGAGTGAGCGTACACCCTACCTTCCAAAACGGCCTTAGCGTGCATACCCCGCATACTTACATGACCCCTAAACGTGTCCCCGTGTTCCAGCGTGCTGGGACACTATCCCTCTCTACACGAGCTTAACAACTACACTGGTGTCATGGCTGTTCCTTTCAAGTGGAATCTCTTCCCGGCAATGCCGAAACCCGACACGCCAAAGCCCTGTTGCGGCTCTTCATCCTAGCATATCTACCAGCAGTTCAAGATATAACACTAAAGGGCACCGACTAGCTGCTTGAAAACGACACAGGCAAATGACACAGAGGGGTTCAGCTGTGTTGAACATCCCTTTTTTTGAAATTTTGAAATTGGCCTTGTTATTTGCACGTTGGGTGGTAGTCTGTCACGAAAATGGATGCCCTTTCTCTAGGTCGGTTGACTGCAAAGGAAACACTGGGCCGCAAAACGGCCTGTCAGCGTTTACTCATCATCACCTTCCTTGCTGTCACCCCCTCTCAGCGCCTTTCTCTTTACACGGCCAGGTCGGCCTCCCCCGTACGGAGACGTGAGGGAGAACTCAATATACTTCTCTGAGTCTACACGCACCATGAAAGAGGGGATGTCGACGATCTGCTTCCCCACGCGAATATGGCGCTGTCTGATGAGACACCTGGCATGGTGAATTGACTTTGCCAGGCCCAGCTTGAACACACGTGTCTGCAAACGCCGTTCAAGGAATTTCTGCACCGTCAGACCCAACACGTAATCCAGCTTCTGCTCCCCCTCGCTGAGCAGCCCCAGGCGGACCATACGACGCAGCAGCGCCGTCCCTAAACAACAGCAGCAAGCACATGCATGCGCCCAATCCACCTTCTGCATTTTAAAGCACTCAAACGAACCGCTAATTTGGCATGTTCTTTCAAGCAAGTAGTGATACACCATCATTGCAAAACAGTCTCCAGATACCCAACAAGGCTTACCCTGGAATATGCGCCGGGGGTCCTTTTCTTCAAGAGTCAGCAGCTCACGAGCTGCTGAACGAATCTTAGCAAGCGCATACTGCACCCTCCAAACCTCTCGCTTGTTCTTCAAGCCATATTCGCCTAGCAGCCGGAGCTCTTGGTCCAAGCGTTCCTGCAGAAGCACCACGCACCACAGGCTCAACCTCAAGAAAAAGTGAACACTCTAAACAACTCCAGCCCCTTCATACAACCATCCGTAACACTTGCAGTCAGCATCTCGCAGTGCCCGCTGTCGGCGTCCACCGTGTCACTGGGGAGAAGGCTAGAGGGCAGCCACCCGCACATGGACCACAAGTTACAAATGCCCTAGGCCTTTCTCCACATACTACTCGATCCACAAGGAAGCGAAATTTAGGCACACGGATTTGTAAAAACGGAAAAAGCCCCGCATGCATGCCCTCACAATAGGGAGCACTGCATGACGCCTGGCGCTTCGCACTAGTGTTTGTGGCAAAAAAATCCGCAGCGTCTTCTTATCCCCATGCCACAGTAATCTGAAATATATCGAAATACTAAGTCTCTATGAAGAAAAACCCGCGGACGATCCATGCTGATGACCCCACACTCGCCCGCCTGGAAGATGTGCAGAGTTCTTAACAAAAACACACCTTTTCAAAAGGGCGCTTGGGGTTGCGCGCCGTCTTGCTGTGGTTCCTGTAGCTCTTCGGCATCTTCGCGAGGAATTTGGAGGAAAAGGCCACAGAAAACTCGAAAATAGATGGCGCGCGAAGCTACAGGCACAGAAGCTCATGTAGGCCATTTCCCCACCGCGGGCAGCGCCGCTTGTGCATGCAGTCCAAGCCGCACAATGGCCGCTGTGGGTCGTACCTGTACTATTTTCTTCAACTTGTCCGCTTCAAGCATTTCTTTTTCCATGCAAACGATTTTTGTATGTTTCTTCGATAGGATTTGCGCGAAAGGACGTTCGCCACTTTCCTTAGAACCATCCGCTTGGATTCCATGCATGCAACGAGGGCCGTCACCCCTTGCGTGTATCTGGCCTTGAATAAAGTTTGCACAGGAACACTTTCTTGGCCTTGCATAGCAGCCTACGCGCAATCAGAGGCACTAAAGTTGTCTAAAGCATTAGCATAGGCAGCAAAAGGAGGTTTGGTTGCTCTTGCATGTGAAGGTGCCTTGCAGCTTAGTTGGAATGAGGAACGCTGCAACTTTTCTGCAGCATCTCCCCCGGTCTGGTGTGCCCAAACGCATGGGACCTGGGGAGAAGGCCAGCTGCATTTTAGGAACGCTTACTTGCTTTTATTCCTTTGGCTCGATTGCAGTTTACTACAATAGTAGGGTACGACCGTTGCCGCAATTCGCAGCACCGTTACGGTTGTTGGGCGCACGAACAAGCAATGAGTCGCACCCGCACTGCAGAATGGCCTGTTGCATAGCAGTGACTAGTACTAAAGATGCTTCAACCGTACTGGGACAGATATTCTCGCGCAATCCTGCTAAAAACCTCGGCCCTTTTCTCCGCCTCCATGGTGGGGTTTGATCAGGAACTGCCCTTTAATAGGGAGGCGACCAACGGTTGAGACCGTCGCTGCGTTAGTGCAAACTCAATATCTACATCCTTTTTTAGCGGGAGACATCTTTGCGGCAGAAGCGGGTCGTGAAGGATGCACCTGCTTTTGCTGACCGTCCCCATATGATGGGAACTACGATGCGGAGGCAATGGCGGAGTTCGTTGGTCCCATAGATTTTTCTCTTTGTCTCCAGAATGCACCTGAAGATGTGGAGTAGCTATTGGTACCTTTCTTATTAGGAGGTAAGGCACGACAATGGGTGGTTACACTCCACCGGATATTCGCGTGCTTCTCAGATTTTTGAAAGAAAACGAACAGAAGCAGCCAGTACGAGAGTAGCAGTAGGCGTCCTTGTTGCTAGTGGAAAATTGGCTGCATGTTTGGTGGGAATCGGGTTAACGTTCAGACTGACCGTGAAGCCCTGACACACCGAAGAGTTGCCAAAACAACGATAATGAGAGTCATTCGGCGGCCTTGATAACAAGCCCAGGAGTATGACTTCACACTCAGGTGACTGAAGCGTATCACCAACCTGGTCTCTGATGCACTGTGCCGACCCCTACCTAACCAGTAGGGCGCCGTGTTCCGCACACGCGCTTGCCTGCAATGATTCCTGTTTCCTTTCTAAATTGTTTTCTTCTTATCCCTTATATATTCACGCCGCTGCTATCCGTGCTAACGTCAACAACGCGGGGCGGGTCAAGCACTATAGCAGTGATGGCGACCCTTCGTGGTACCCGACTAAGTGTGGACTGAGCCAATTATACGTTCGAGTTTCGGTTCGCACAAAAGTAGCGGGCAACATGCACGACCATGTTATAGCTGGCAATGATACGACCAGCACAACAATGCAGAGAGTATCTATACCCTCATGATGGACTAGGGTACTCCCGTTGGCAGAGAAGTATGCCCCCCAGGTGGGGAATGCCATACGCTCAAGCGGAGGAAGACACACTCTCGAAGTCGGACGCATAATCTGGAATGCCTTTCGACTCTTCACCCGAACCTGGCAAAGGGATTTGATTGTGGGTTTACCATCAATGAGGGGTTGTGATATCATGCACGTCGCTTTGGTTACACTCAGCAGGTGTGCCCAATTCACCCCGTGCTAACACCAGAGGGAGTGGCCCAATTATTCCTGAACTATCTCTGGAAGCTCCACTATCTTCCGAAAAGCATCACTACTGAGAAGGGCCAAAAGATCGGTAGCGCTTGGCAGGCGCGAATGAGCGGCTCAATATCGACGATAGCACGGCCACCGTGAACTAGCCAGAGGCGAGCCGGCAAATTGGACGCACCGAATGCGTAGAAGTGCACCAAGGTAATATGGCCCATTTCTGAGTCGAGTTGGCATTTTATACACATAGTTTTGTCGGTCCTCGTGCACCGTCTGACCTCCGCGAAGCGTTGTGGCAGAAACTGCACCAACCAATAGACAACTAGATTGCACTTCCGCGCCGTAGCTTCAGATATCAGGTCCACTTCGTAGCCCGTAATGAGCACCGCTATCAACGCCAGACTATTAATAGGAACTTGGATTAGTACAAAGTCAAGTCGAGGCGGATCTGCATGTGCGGCTGTCATGTCTTTCCCTCTCATCACCGCGCCGCACGTTGCGCATAAGCACGCCACTTTCTTGGTCCCGCTGTTTTCTCCCGTAGCGGCGCTTCTCCAATTCTCGCTCCTCCAATTCCCTAGCTCTTTTCATCCTCCTGCAGTCTAGAACAGTGTGAAGTTGTTTCTTGCATACACAGATGCATCGCTCGATACGTCCCTTCCGGCTTCTGCAAGCCGACTTCCTCGGCTGCTAGCGATTACTGCGCTATCAATCACAGCCACAATATCCAGAGGCACTATCTTCGAGTCACTTCCAAACCTGCCTTCCACCTCCTCAGCTACTGTGGTTGAAGAGGCGTATTTTCTCTCTTGGATCCTTGAGTATTCCATCTTCTTGGTGAGGTCGCCCATCTCACCCCCTGCTTTCCGCTTCGCGGCCCAGTCGGTTGCCGACTGCTTCTCTCTGGGAAACAGCGATGCATTGTATCATTGGTATTGGTGTTCCAAGCTCGCCTCCTGTTGCCGGATGCTTCCCTCCGGGGGGCAGCTCTGCAAAGTGCCAGTGATATTGGAGTTCCGACTCCACCTTTGGACTCCTGGTCGGTGAGGATGGATACTTTTGGATGTAGCAATATCTTGCTCGATTCCTTTGTTTAAGTTTTTCAAGTTTTGCCACATCCTGTATCGTTGACCTAAGAATAAACCTACTCAGCAGCTAATCTTCGAAGGCTTCTCCAGACTGAATTGCCACCGGAAAAGTGGTTTCATTGTTTGAATGTAACCACTCATTGTCGTGCCTTACCTCCTAATAGCAAAGGTACCAATAGCTACTCCACATCTTCAGGTACATTCTAGAGACAAAGAGAAAACTCTACAAGACCAAGGAACTCCGCCACTGCCTCCGCATCGTATATGGGGACGGTAAGCAAAAGCAGATGCATCCTTCACGACCCGCTTCTGCCGCAAAGATGTCTTCCGCTTAAAAAGGATGTAGATATTGAGTTTGCACTAACGCAGCGACGTTCTCAACCATTGGCCGCCTCCCTACCAAAGGGCAGGTCCTGATCAAACCCCACCACGTAGGAGGAGAAAAGAGCTGAGGTTTTGAGCAGGATTTCGTGAGAGTATCTGATCTTGTATCGTTGAAGCACCTTTGGTACTAGTCACTGCTATGCAACAGGCCATCCTGCAGTGGGAGTGCGATTCGTTGCTCACCCGTGCCCCCAGCAACCGAGACGGTGCTGCGAATTGTAACGAACGGCAACGGTCGTATCCGATTGCTGTAGTGAAATGCAATCGAGCCAAAGGAATAAAAGTGCGCAAGCCTTCCTAAAGTGCAGCTGACCTTCTCTCCAGGCCCCAGACGTTTGGGCACACCAGACCGGGGGAGGTGGTATAAGATGAGTTGCAACGTTTCTCGCTCCAACTAAGCTGCATGGCACCTTCACATGCATGCGCAACCAAACCTCCCTTTGCTGCCAACGCTAACACTTTAGACAACTTTAGTGCCTCTGAGTGCGCGTAGGCTGCAATGTAAGCCCCAGAAAGTGTTGTTCTGCCAAGTTTGGACAGAGCATGGTACCCTTCTTCTACGGCTTCGGAAGGGCAGTCCAACATGCAGGCATAACCAAGCCCCCTTTTGCTCCATAAACTAACACTGTAAACGGCTTGAAAAGGTTTTCTTTGCCCTCAAGAACCAGGCTGCTCCCAGTTGCAATCACGTTATTTGCCCAGCAACTCCTTGTAGCATCCCCTGGATGGTACAGGCTGCGATGGGAGTTGCCGGGCAAACTCACGTGCAGGCATACCCAAGCTTAGTGTTGATGCATAAACTAGCACCATATACAATTATATGGAGGAAGACTTGGCCCGCCATACCCAATCTTTACGCGAAAAATGAAATACACGCATTAACTTCACACAGACCACTCTACAGGAAGAATCGACAAGCGAGCGCTAATTCAGGACTCCCATACTTTAATCACTCAACATTCCCTTGAAAGGGAGGTCATCTCCATTTTTAGACATCTTACCCCAAGCTTTCCAAATTCATCCGCATCTGCGCCCTGCAGGTCACAACGCTCCGTGCAGTCGCCTCCGCCTGTCACATTCCAAACTCCTATCATCCTCTCAGGAAACCTGGCAGCCCTTGGGATGAGAGAAATTTTGACCGGATCATAAATGCACCTAAATATGGGAATAAGTCTTCAACTCTGCGATGTAACTACAACTTTGGCCTTCGCGTGTTTCAACGCCTGGAGCGGTGCTGATGCCCTTCGGCTTCTGTGCTCGGGGCTGCAGCAGCAGCCAAAATTTCCGCTCTTGATTTTGAGAGTGGGTAAATAAACCAACACGTAGTACTAAGAAGCGTGCCGTCATTTCTTCCTCCTTTTTTAAAACTTACGGAGAGAGTGGCTTTCCGTCCACCTACAGCGACGATTGCCCTTCGCTGCTTGTCGAAGCCTGCAGCTCCTCTTCCGTCCAGGTGTCTTCTCTCCCTTTGGTCTCCCAATCCTCTCAATCGTCTCCTTTCCCACTGTTTATTTCCTGAAGCAGAATACTGGGCCCTCCGTGGGGCTACACAGGCTGCGGCCCCGCTTCGGGAGGCCCCCAGGGAGCGTCCATCGTCTTTCCTTCACTGGACTGAGGGGGCCCTTTTGTGTCTCACTTAGCAAGGAAGGAGAGCATTGCATGCACTACCCAGTGATTAGTGAAGCTGATCTGCTTTAGAGCAGCGGTCACTGCAAAGACAGAAGGCGGTGGAGGACGTTGATGGGCAGCGTTGTCTGACAAATCGCCCTGCCGTCGGTTGGGCGCTTTGCTGGGGTGTACAGACACCCCAGGTGCTGCAAATGAGCGCAGCGAGCCCCAAGGACGACGACAATAACAGTAAGACCTCTCCAGGCCGGCGAGCTTCAGTGGGTGGCCCCCCCGGGAGGAGGAGAAGCCTAGCCCCAGAGGAATGTTTGTCTGTTCCTTCTCTGCCCTCCTCTCCTGCCTCTTCTCTCCCTCGCGCTATGGCTGGCCAAGCAAGTAAGCCTTCAACGGAGGAGCGCTTCCCCCTTGTGGCCAAGGGGACCTTCCAGGACTTGGAAACGGGTGAAGGGGCTCTCGATGCACCCGATGGGGGGCCCCCCGCGGCTCCCCACAACCTTTCTTGGGGGGGTTGGAGACGCAACAGCAACAGTTGCAGCAACAGCAGCACAGAGAGACAGCAGCAGGGGAATACATCTGCCTCTCAACCCCCGCTCAACCCTCAAGCGCCAACCCCGATGACGGGCTCCTCATCCTCTCCGGGCTCCCGCTCCCCCTCGGACGAAAGGTTTCGCCGCTGGTGGAGATTCTTTGGCCTTGAGCCTCTCGCGGTCCGTGCTGCTGTTGCTGTTGCTGCTGCTGCTGTGCTGTTTGTATGGAGGGGTTGGAGATGTATGCTGTGGGGATTCTTGCTGCTTACGTTGGTGCTGCTCTGTGTCGCTGCTCCTTCCTCTCGCGTCGAGAAGGACGGTGGAGTTTCTTAGGCTGTCCCTGCGGGGTTTAGGCTTTTTAGGATATAGAGTTGGGGGTTTAGGGTCTACGGAATATGCTGTTGTGTGGCTCCAAATGCTCAGGGGAGGCAGGTCCCCGCCGCAGGTGTCGTAGGCTGTTGTAGGGCGGGGTTCTCGTATTTGCAGCGAAGAGAGCAGACATGGTCGATGCCAGTGTGCATACATTTGCGTGCGCACGCAGAGGAGCTGTGCCGTCTGTGTGGTGTGGCATGTCACTGCAGCAGGAGCAGCAGAGGCAGGAGCAGGAGCAGCCGCAGCAGCAGCTGCAGCAGCAGCAGCCGCAACAGCAGCAAGGGCACCAGCAACAGCAGCACCCGCGAGTTGACGTGCGCTTCACATCCGTTGTTTTTCTGATTTTCTTTGCGCTCGAGATTTTTGTCAACTTTGATTGCGGGGCAATTCCCTGCACGCTGTCCCGCATGGCAGATGAATTTCGCCTCTCCCCCACTTGGCAAGGTGTACATACACCCCAGCACAGACTTGCTGCATGCAGTGGAGGCAACATCTTTCTGTGCAGGCATCTCTTAGATGTGCCCTTTATGCGTAAAGTTCATAGGGGTTGAAGCAGTTCGGGTTGCTTCAGCAGCAGCGACTAGTACTAGTGCTCTTGCCGAGCAGTAGCAGCCACAAAGACAGTCGGCGCCAGCAGATTGCCCCCCATAACGGCCCAGTTTCCTCATCTGTGGATTAGCTTTTGAGTGCCTTCGCCGTTCAATACGGCCCCTGGATCTCCTGCTTGCGCATGCCGAGGAAACGTGCATGCATGCATGCACGCACGCATGCTCTTGGTCCTTGAATTGTGCGCGCAGGCATGTTGGGGGCCTTGCCCTACGTGGGCCTGACATTGATGTCTCCTTTCGCCGGTCGCGTCTTCGCCTATTGGCCTGCCAAACGCGTCGTTGTAATTTCGATGGCTTTAAATGCGTTTGCTACCCTTCTGATGGTGCTGACGGTGCTGCTGCCGCAGGAGGTGCTGCCGCTCACCAGCAGCGGCGGCATCGGCAGCGGCGAGAATGGTAGCGGCTTCGCAGGCGGTGCTGCACCCACCGACCTGGCTGCCGCTGCTGCTACTCCGGCGGCGGAGGGTGCTCCTGGTTCAATGTCTGCTGCAGCAGCAGAAGCTGCTGCTGCTGCAACGTCGACGCGTCCGTTTTTTCGTCTCCCAGACTTCTCCTTTGGGGACCTGACTCCCTGTGCGCTGCTGCTGCTCTCAAGCAGATTGCTGGTGGGGCTCACGCAGGCCCCATTTGTAATATTTGCTCCTGTCTGGGTGGACGAGTTCGCCCCCCCGAAGAAAGCAGCCCTCTGGATGGGAATCATGCAGGGGGCGGCCGTCGTAGGAGTCACTGTAAGCTGCTGCGGCTGCTGCTGCTTCCGTTGCTGCTGCTACTTCTGCTGCTGCTTAAGGGGGAAGAAGCGAGGCATCAGACTTCCACAGACAGCGGATTGGGTATATGTCGCTCGCGACTACTGTGTCTCCCTTGTTTGGATTCCCTTACTTTTTGCATATTTACTTCTACACACCTTTGCTATATGATGGGCCTATCTTCGTTACCTATCTCATTCCAGTCCCTTCGACACGGGCCTGTCTCTGTCTCTGCTAACGTGCCTTCTTCGGCCTTGAATAGGTTCTGCCTTTTGCTCTGTGGCTATTCATCCTGCTGCCTTCGTTTCTTTGCTTATGATCATTTTCGTGTTTTCGTTGATTATCATTTTGTGTCCTCCTTTCGTTGTTTCTTGTCGATTTCCCGTCTTTTGTTGATTTGCACATTCCCGTTTTTGTGGATTCGTCCTCTCTATAATGCAGGTGGGTTATTTGGCTGCCGGGGTTTTGTCTGTGTATTTGGGCTTGAACTGGCGCTCGGCGATCTGCTTTCAAGTCTTCTTCCTTTTCCTCCTGACGGGGCTCGTTGCCAGCATTCCCTGGCAGTATGTACAGACACCTGGGGGCCCAAGGCCCCCTAAGTGCATCCAGGAGGCCACGCCCGCAGCAGACCAGTCGAATGACGAGCAGCAGCAGCAGGACCAGCAGCTGCAGCAGCGGGAAGGGGAGCAGGATCAACCGCCCCGCGAACTGTCTGCGGCAGCAGGTGGCGGTGGAGCGATAGAAAGCAGCGCAAGCCACAGTCCACAAGCAGCAATGACAGGAGGGACTCACAGGAGGAAATCGGCAGATGCTGGGAGGCGGCCGCCAGACGGCAGCCGCAACTCAGGGGCATGGCCGTCTCCCCCCTCTGCAGGGGACGTTGCGCCAGCAGTTGGTAGCCGTAGAAATGCATCTTTGAAGCTGCTGCTGTACGTGAAGAAGGCCATTGCTGCTGCATCTTTGTTCTGCTTCTTTGGCTGCGTCTGTGGAATGTGCAAGTGCGGGGCAGGAGAGCAGGGTTGATGCGTGTGTTCTTTATTATTCAGTACCGCTCTCTGCATTTCTGCTGCTAGTGCATGTGCTCGCGTCCCTGCTGCTGCTGCTGCTGCTTGTGGGTGTGTTTGCGTGCCCGCTGCTGTTGCAGTTGCCGTTGCTGCTGCTCTTGGACTCATGCTTCTCTCTTGCTTCTTTTGTGTGCGTGTGCCGCAGAACACCGATGTACATGCTCCCTGTGCTGACGCTGTGTGCATTGTTATTCGTCGTGACAGGGGTTCAGTTCTGGGGCACGATATTCTTTGCTTCGTTTCTGGGGTTGAGCCCTGCAGCAGCCGTGGGGGCATTTGCTGCTGTTGCTGCAACTTCGCCTGTGGTTGGGGTCCTGATGGGCGGCCTGACTGTTGATGCAGTTGGCGGCTACAAGACACTGAAAGGCCGCACTCGAACGCTTGTTGCATGCACTGCTTATGCTGCTATCGCCGTTGCATGCGGTGAGCCTGCACTCAATAATATATATATATATATGTATATATGTATATATATATCTATAATTTTGCACAGCGCGGGCGAAGCCTGCACAGCTGCACAGCTGCAGTGGAAAGAAAACAACTCCGCGATGGTTAGACAGGAATGCAGGGGGTTTACAGTTGCCAGCTTGTTTGAGCATATATATATATATATGCATGGGATCTTCTATATATATATGTAAAGGAGGACGCCTAGACACACCTAGGTGGGGAAGACTACGCCCAAAGGGGTGAAGGTTTATGAAGAATTCGCGCGGCAGCTCGGGCCAACACAGCAGCGGCGGGGTTTGGATGCGGTGGAGTAGGGGACGAGGCGCTGCTGTTGCTGTTGCAGTTGCGGTTGCTGTTGCTGTTGCCATTTTTCGCTGCCGTTGGAGCTAGTTTTGGATATGGTAGTTGGCGTCGTTTGCGTGGACGTGGTGTGAATTTGTGCGTGCTGAGGTGTACGTACAGGCCTGTAGTTTGTGTAGAAGGGGACTTCTGTGCGGCGCTTTTGTTTGTGTATGCTAGGGTTCATGGAAAGAGCTTTTGGCGTGTCTCGTTTTGCTCCTTGGTCGGAGTTGTTTGCATGCATTTGAATATCTACACTCTGCTGCCGTGTGTGCGTGTTTGCTCAGCGGTAATCGGCAGTTTTTCTTCGCGGGTGTATGTATGCGTGGCCTGTTTGTGGCTGCTGCTCTGCTTTGGGGCTGCGATGCTCCCCCCGCTGACGGGCATCCAAATTGATGCTGTCTCCCCGGACCTGCGGACGTTGGCGAGCGGCATTTCGATGTTCTTTTATAACATATTGGGCTACGCTTTAGGTGCGATGTACAGCGATATGCAGGGGCTAAGGGGGTTTAATGGCTAATAGGAAACAAAAGGAGACAGGTTTATGCCTCCTATACACCGCAGTTCGGCCTCTCGTTGCTGCAGCATACGGCGCAGCCGAGAGCAGAGACACAGACAGGCAGAGACAGACGCAGACAAGAAGCTACGTAGACATACAAATTACACACATATGCCAAGACGCAATTCACACACTAAACAAAAGTCAAACAAGAAAACTCTTGAAAGACGCCAGAGCTGGTGCAACTGCTCACGCTGCTTCTGCTGCTGTTGCGGTGATTGCATTTGCTGGATTTGCTGGTGTCGCTGCTAATGCTGATGCTGATGGTGCTACTGCAGCATTTGCTACTGCGTTTGCTGCGGCATTGGATGCTTGCGCTGCTGCTACTGGCGGTGGTATTGCTGTTTCTCTTACCGTGCTGCTGTTGCGTTGCTGTTGGTGTTAGTGCTTCTGGGCGTGTTGCGTGCTTGCTCTCAGGGGCATTTCTGCCTGGAGTGGCAATGGACTTGTTTCACGGTGGAGACGTCTTGGGTCTAAGGGTGAGATCTGTTTCTTACCGCCCTGTGCCTCTTCGCTTTGTTTGTTGCCCCTTTTCTGTTGCTTCCCTTTGTTTTGTGCTGGTTTGCTCGGGCTTAATGGCAGCAATAGTATTCCTGAATAATTCTGTCACGGACAACAACTATTTAGAGGTAACAATAGTAGCAGTGTCTTTCTGATCGTAGGTAGGAGCAATAGGGAAGCTATTAGCCAATGGCAGAATTATGAATATTATTTAAGAGAGACAACAAGCACAACAATGCATTATTATTAACACACTTCACAGTAATATTCACGAATGAGGAAGCCGTTCTTTTCTGTTTTGCAAGCAAAACGCTAGAGTCGTAATGCGAAAGTTGCATTAGACTGTCGCAACGCACTTGTGGCTTTCCCTAGAACTTCCTTGTGGATGAGGGTTTAGGGTTTAGGGTTTAGGGTTTACGGCTCAGGGCTTCTGCGTTAGGGTGCGGAACTGGGAGTACCGTGCGTGCGTTTGGGTTTACAGCTGGTGCTTCTCTGGTCAGTCTTTGGCCTTGTGTTTTCATTAATTACTGCGCTGTACGCTTGGAAGTTGGAGAGAAAGGAAACCGCAGCGGCATCTCGGGAGCTCGAGCTGTCTGTACACCCCACCGCAGAAACCCCCGCATTCACCGCAACCGCCCCACAGCCCATTCGCCCCAAAAGGCCCCGCAGCGCACGGGGCTTCGTGCCCATTACTGTGGATTCAGTCTGGCAGCAGCAGCAGCAAGCCTAGGAGAGCGCAGTGCAGCAGCATGGACAGCAGCATCTCAGGAACTGCAGCAAGACCAACAACAGCCGTTCCAGCATTATGAGCAGCATCACCGTGAGTAGCAGCAGTACCAAGCTCGAAAGCAAGAAATGCAGGAAGAACGGCAACAGCTAGCAGTGGCACCGGCAGCAGTATCAGCAGCAGAAATAGCAGTATTAGTTGCAGTAACTGCAGCAAACGTGCAGTTGAATAGGCGACGGTCCAAGGCGGCCTTTGTGCAATGCAGTGCCCGGGCAGCAGCAGCATCATTGTGTTCAGGCAGCTTAGAGCTGACTCTACGCCATCTTTCCCTTGTGCTTTTTATCCCTTTTTACGGAAAACTGTTGCTTTTCTCGTATCTGCTTCAACAGGTCGTCACTGCTGCAGCAAATATACTCTCCTGCAGCAGTGGCATCAGCAAAAAGGAACAACGCAGCAAACGTGGGCAGCTGCTGCTCCTCCCCTTGTTTCTTTTTGAACATTTTTCACGTATACCAGTGGGCCCGAGGGGCCTGTGGAACCTTAATTTGTGAGATAATAATTTCCTTGCTGCTGTTGCTGTTGCTGCTGGTAATACTGCTGCTGACGAAGCAGCAGCAGCTGGTGCTGTCACGGTTTGAGATAGGCTTGATAAACAGGCAGGGTAAAGAGCATGCGACCAACGTGACGAAGCAAGTAGCATTGCCTGTGTGAACCTGGTACGTGCATTTCTACTGGCATACGGGCTGGATACTGACTGCGAAGAAAGTGCAGAACAGTTGTCTGTGCTAGTCCATGCATCAAAGGGACTTGGTTATGCATGGGTTTTAGGTTGCCTTGCAACAGAAGTTGCAGCAACGAGTGCTGCAACTTATGGCATGCTACGTCGTCTCCGCAACAGCCTAAAGCCCACGGGCAGCTGTCCTTGCCCGGGACGCGTGGAGAAGTGGAAAAGGGGCCAGCTGCGTTTAGCTTCTCCTTCCTATGGTTAGCGTTTTTCTTTAAGTGCAGCTCACGAAGGTAGCACAGCACGGTAAAGAGAGGAATATGCGGGCTGTGGACAACGGCCCCACAAGTGGGTGGTCTTGCCTATTGCGCTGGTTAGTTTATAAGGGCGCCTAGAATACCGGACATGTTCACCGGATAGTGTTTGTCGAAGCTTTAGCCTTTTCCCCACCTCCAAAAATGGTGGTTGGACACGTTCACTCCTCTTCCGGGGAGGCGAGCAACGTAGGCGCGTCTCCTCACATTTAAAATACCGCAGCACCTCACCTGCAGCTCATCGAGCCGCAATTGTCCGTATAGCGAAAGCAGTTCTTGAGAAGTGCCTCCTCCTTCGCTGACCGTGCAAATATGGAGCCGGAGACCTGACGCAGTGAAGGAATTTCTAGCGCGTCAGGCGGTGTCACTTCTTCTCCAAAATGCCCCAGAAAAGCTGCAGTTGCGATTGGCATTTCTTTATTAGAAGGCAGTGCATGAAGATGCTAGCTCTACCTAGGCAAGGGTACCTACCTTAGGGAGTACATAGGGACTATAGAAGTTCTTCAAGAGGTTCGCAAGGGAACAGGCAATAGCAAGTGTATGAACTTTTGCAGAAGGGAGCGCAACGGTAGAGCGATATATACAGGAACCGAATCGATGCCTGCTGCTCACACCATTTCATGGAAAAACGGCAAAAATATCTGGTAATTGGGAGGAAGCTCTATGTAGTCTGGTTGGGAGTAGAAAAGTGTCAGCACTGCTTATAATGCAGGCCCCTCACCGGCAAAAAACTTTGAAGATTCCGTTAATGAAAAGCTTGTTCGGTGGCTTTGCTTGCTCACGCTCTGAGACTTCACAGTTACGTGCATCGGTGGTACCACCAACCTGGTCGCTGACTTACTCTCCCCTAACCCTAACGGTCAGGCGCTTCCTTCGGAAACTTTTCTCACCTGCGAGGATCCCCTTGTCCTTTTAGAATTGCTGTCTTCCTTTTCCATGGATACTGACGCACCTGCGGTTCGTCCTAAGCTCAACAACAGACGACAGGCTAAGTATTACATCACAGAAAGCGAACCAGTTGAGAGCCGCCCTCCTTGGCGAGCAGCCAAGGAGGGCGAGCAGCCAAAAAAGTCGCCATATGTTGGGTAGAGCCCTTTGCTGTTGGTCCTCAGTTTAACGGATTGGCTGGCATCGCACATTTTCCTGCACTGTGGAGATGTCATCAAACTATTGACGCCGGCCTCCTCAGGGAGTCACCGAAGTTTCCTCGAACTCTTCCAGCATGAGTGCTGCACCGCTTTTACGAAAGGGAGCAAATAGCGCAAACTGATATCCTGTATGCACACGCTATGAATTGCAGAGGTCACAAAAAACAAGAATACTACACTAAAAGGCCAGGAGGCAGACAGCCCGAGTGAGAAACACCTCTGCGAAGCAACTCCTACGAGGCTTCTGCGTGTCCTCCCCGATCCACTGGTGACGACTACGAGTGTGGGCATGAGCAGCATACCTTAGAAACTTGCCATGTACTACCATTTGGATACAATTGCTATGCCACGTGTAAAGAGGCGCTTGTGCCTTTCCATATACGTGCTCCCCCACGTTAACTACTTTTCCGCTGTGATCTTCGTTCTTTGCTTTGCATCAGGCTTGCTAGGCTCATTAGGAACTGCCGCCGACAACATCTTCATTTTTTCGAAATATTGTAGCTAGAGCTTCTCTTGGTGCTGGCTTGAAAGCCCTCCTCAAGTGCCCATTGATGCTGCAACTCAATAGCCGTCCGCATCATATATCTTAATTGGATGAGATGCCCGCATGATCACGCTAGTTTTAACCCAGGATAAGGACAAATGATGTAGTAAGGAACTGTGACAAGCCTCGTTTGCTGCGGTGAAGTACGCTCAGAAGCAGCAGCAGCCGACGCAGCTGGTCCTTCGGGGCCCTTTGGTGCTGGTGGCTCTGGCCCTTGTAGCGGCCTCTTTCCCTCCCTTTGGGCAACCCATCACTTGTTGAGCGAACAGCGATAGTAGGGCATGTACTTCTTGTGGAGGGGGGAGGGGAAGTATCTGAAGTTTTCTATGCAAGCTGGACACTGAAGGCTACGGCAGTGGCTCGCCATGGTCTGCATTGTTAGTCTGTGCACCAAACGGGGCCTGGGTACTTGCATGTGGGGTTGACTGGAAACAGGAGTTGGGACAAGCAGTGCTGCAACTCGTAATGGGCTTCCTCCTTTCCGCAGGTGCCCCAGCCCTGCGTGCTGCCTTACCCAGAAAGCCTGGAGACTAAAGGGAAGGTCAGCTAATTTAGGGGAGTGCTAATGCTAATTAATTTGAATATACTGCGCATTACAACGTTCTCCGGTTAATATTGATGGCTGTCGTTGCATTAAGGATTCTAGTTCCAATGGAACCCATAAAAACTGCGGTTATGCAGTTGCATTCATCCATTCATATAAACGTAAATTTTAACTCTAAACTAGCATAATGAAGTATTTTTCAATCTATATATAAACAAAACAATAAATGTTTAATCTATGCATGCAGTTATTTATATATTTTGTACGCAGCTATATACATATGAAGGAACGGTGGTTACTGATGACCGTGCGAGTTGGGATGGGGCAAAAGGAGCCAGAGGGTAAAATGGTATTGAATTAGTTAAGTTGTGAAGCCGTGAATGAATTAACTGGTATTATAATACGATAAGAAAGATATAAATTTAAACATTTACCTTCTTCCCCATAATGCTGCGGTGGTGTGGACGTGCACTCAGCACAAAGTTGCAGGTTTCTGCAAGTTCAGGAGTTGTACTGGTAGCTCGCTAGTTTCATCAGGTCCCTATATCTCGTTGAAAATAAGTGAAATATATCTTTTTAGAGGGAATTATAATTTTTAAATGGCTGAAGTGCCTTATTCAGTATTTATTTTTCTACTCTTTTCTTCTTTTTCATTGCCGTGTACTCATACTTGGGGCCCCCAAGACTCTGCAGGGGCCTCTGCCCCCGCTCTGCCCCCCACAGATCGCAGCTTGGGCTGCAGGACCTCAACGGAGATTCGGTGTTGTTTTCTTTGTTTCTGCACAAATTGAAATACAAATTTGCTTAATTTTGTTGTTTTTTGTTATCTTATTAGCACCTATTGCTCCGCAACCCACGGCCGATCAAGGGCTCCCCGCGTGCCTTCTGTCCTTAGTGGCTGCTGCGTACTCCTTCTGTTTCTCTTCCTATATCTGGATTGTTTGCATTTGTATAAAGCTCTTTTCTCTAGCATCATGGTTAAACAAATCGGTATATACAGACCCCAAGCCCTCCCCATGCACTCCTGGGGCCCCCCCAATGCTTCCCGGTAGGCCCCCTGTGGGCCCTGGGCCTCAACTTTAAACTCTAAACCGTACTTGTTACAACTAACTCTGAAGGGGTGAAGGCGGTAAGACTCTTCTTCACAAACTCATCGGCAACAACTCGTCATTCAAGCCCTTCGTGGCAATCCCATTACCAGCGACAGCAGCTGCTACAGCGGCGGCAGCAGCATCTGCTGTTGTTGCTGCTGCTGCAGCAGGCTGCTGCTGTAGCTAGCTGCTACAACAGACAAGAACTCCATATTATCCTCTCCTTCTTGTAGCAAAAGGGTACGCATTTCCTTCATAAAGAAGCAAGTCTCAGAAACAGCAGCAACAGAACGAGCCGCAACAGCAGCAGCAGCAGCAGCAGCAGCAGCAGAAACTTGAGGTGGAGCAGGATCTGGATTGGGCCTGAAGATGGCGGAGTCGTCAGTTAGTGGCTCTTGCATATCTCTGAGTAACCGCAGCATCTCGTTTGTCCCAGCAACAGCAGTAGATGAGGGGCCCTCCTTAAAGACTGCCTCCGCTACAGAGAAATCTCCCAGCATAGAACTGCCGCCCACAGCCCCAGCAAATCAGATTCTTAGCGAGGCTGCAGATGTGCCGCTCCCCTGCTGGCGGAAAGTATGACACCTGAGTCTGTGCTGCTGCTGTTGGTGTTTATCCGCTGCTGCTGCTGTTGCTGTTGCCGCTGCTGCTGCTGTTGCTGTTGCCGCTGCTGCTGCTTGTGCGGATCGTGTGTGTGTGTGTGTGTGTGTGTGTGTGTATGTGTATGTGTGTGTGCGTGTGTGCGTTGGGGGTGGGGGGACATGCCTTTGCTTTGCGTATTTGATGCTGTATGTTTTGACGTAACATACATGGATTGGTTTGCTTAGAGAAGACTGTGGATGCATGCGCATGCAGGTGCGTTCGTGATGCATGCATGCATTTGCGTGCGCATGCATGCGTGTGCTTGCAGTCTCGGGGCGTGGGTTTGGGGCTTTTGAATCCCCACACACTTTGTTTCGTCAACTCTGTAGTCCAGGCCTTGGCATACACTCCTGGCTTTGCTGATGACTGCTTGGAGGAGCGCCACAGGCTTTCTTGCTGCACTAGGCAGCGTGCTGCAGCAAGAAGGAAGGAAGCAGCAGCAGCAGCAGCAGCAGGAGCAGCAGGAACGAAGGGGGGACCTGTGGAGGTGCCTTCTACCTTTTGTGCCTTCTGTAAGCTGGAGCAGCAGGTGCTGTCGATACACCGCAAAGAGGCAGGAGGGGGGCAGCGAGCGGGGCCTAGGGGCCCCACAGGGGGGGCCCCTCGAGGTTGGATACACAACAGTTTTGCTGCTTATATTAAGCCGTTTATATGGAAAGCATTTCGCCCTGGAAGACAAGAAGATGCACATGAATTCTTTCGGTATCTGATTGACGCGCTAATGAAGGCCCCCGCAACTCCTGCTGCTGCTGCTCTTCAGCAGCAGCAGCAGCAGCAGCAAGGGAGAAAGGAGATGAAGCCGGAAGTAGCTTTAACCAGTTACTTTGGCCGCCTCTTTGGTTGCTGGCTGCGCTCGTCTGTTGTTTGCTCTCAATGCAACAAAGCTTCAGTTCGGTTTGAAGGTGCTGTAGATATCTCTCTTGATATTGGGGGCCCCTCGGGGGCCCCCAGCAGACCGTCGGGTGCAGCGCATCAAAATGCATACAGCATAGAAAAAGCCCTGAGCAGATTTATCGCTAAGGAAACACTCAGCGGAAGCAACGCCTACATGTGGGCTCCAAACACCTTTCACTTGTTTTGTTTTGTTTTATCAGTTTGTTTGATGGGTTTTGCTTTAAAGGGTTTGTTTGCTGCGTTTTTTATTGTGTTTGTTTTTCTGTTGCGCTTTGTTTGAAGGGTTTGTTGTGCTGGGGTTTGTTTTTAGGGTTTGTTTGCTGCGTTTTGTTTAATGGTTTTGTTTGTTTTGCAAAGGAGTATTTGCTGCACTATCTAACTGATTCAATTCTTCTCTTTTCTCTTGTTCCTGGCGCTGCTCTCTTTGCATGGGATTTGCATGCAATCTGCATGCGTTTTGCATGCGATTTGCATGCGTTTTGCATGCGTTGCTTCTGCGTCTTGCTGCTATTGTTTGCTGCAGGTGCAGCCACTGCAAACAGAAGGTTCGGGCAACCAAACAGCTGGAGTTGTTTACACCTCCTCGCATCTTGACTTTGTCTTTGAAGCGTTTTTCTCTCTCTCTTTGTGGGGGCTGCGCACTCCCCACTAAAAACCATCGCCCGGTGTCTTTCCCTACGCATCTCAATCTCTTGCCTTTCCTACCCCAGGACGCAGTGCGGCTGCAGCAGCGCCTGCTGCAGCAGCAGATAGAACACCAGCTGCAGCTGCTGCAGCAGCATCAGCAGCTGCAGCAGCAACAGCGACATTTGAAGAAGCAGCATCCTGCTGCAGACAAGAAAACGTCTCCGGCTGCTTCTACTACTGCCTCTTCTCCCTGCTCCTCTCCGCCTCACTCCCCCAGCCCCTCCCTCCCGTCTTGCAGGCTTGCTGCTGCAGCAGCAGCAACAGCAGCAGACGCAGCAGCAAAAGACGGAGCAGCACGCAGCGGCACCGTCAGCGATTCTCCACCGTCAGCAGACGCAGCAGCAGCAACAGCAGCAGCAGCAGCTAGAGCTTCTCCTTCCTTTATGTACCGTTTGTTTGCTGTTATCACTCACGCTGGCGGGTCGCTGTCTTCAGGACATTACCGCGTCTTTGTTAAGGCACCAACAGCAGCAACACAAGCAGCAGCAGCAGCAGCAGGGAGTGGGGATAGAGGAGACTGGGTTGCCATAGACGACGAGCTTGTGTCTCTCGTCAGTGAGGCAGCAGTGCTGCACAGGCTGCAGCAGGAAGCCTATCTGCTCTTCTATGCAAAAGTCCCCTCACAGGCAGAGCGGCAACTGCAGCAGCTCCTGCAGCAAAATAAAACCCTCAAGCAGCAGCAGCAGCAGCAGCAACCGCACCAGCCGATAGATGAACTGGACGAGGCAGGCGATGACAGCAGCATCAGCCCCGCAGATGTCGCTGCTCAACTCAGCACCAGTGAGGAGGAGTGGAGCGACTGCAGCAGCAGCAGCAGCGGCAGCTGCAGCAGTCGCAGCAGCAGCAGCAGCAGCAGCAGCAGTCGCAGCAGCACGCAAGCTGTGCTGCCGTTGCTGCGGCAGCTGCAGAGAACTCGGCGTTCGCTTCTCTTCTCCTCTTCTAGGAGGCGTCGTGTTCTTCTGTCTTTGCGCTGTCGGTTGCTGCTGCTCTCCATTCAAAGGGCTAAGAAAGGCAAAAGGACCATTAAGACAAGCAGCGACAACCAGCAGCAGCAGCAGCAGCAGCATCAGCAGGAGCAGCAACAGCAACAGCAACAGCAACAGCAACAACAGAAAATAAGGCCCATTACTATTATCACAGAGGCAATGATGCAGAAACGCAAGGAAGAAGCAGCAAGCAGAAAAAAGCAGTTTGGCTGCAGTGCACCAGATGCCTGGGAGAAGGATGAGGAGGAGGAGGATAGTGGCGCTGCTGCTGCTGCAGCAGCAGCGGAGCAGCAGATGTTTGAAAGGCTGCAACTGCAACAACAGCCGCTGCCGCAGAAGCGCAGCAGACACGACCGAGAGTATGATCTGGGCCGCCTCACCAAAGTTAGAAACCCTCTCCGTCATCAACCTGTCGGAGGTAGGTGGTGTACATACACCTCAAGTGCTTTTGCCTCTCTTATTTCTCTTTGTGTTGGTGTATATATTCACCTGAAGAGTCTTTGCTTGTCGTCTTTCTCTCTGTGCTGGTGTACGTACACCTCAAGTGCTTTTGTTTTCTCCCGCCTCTGTCTCTGTCCAGCGGAGACACAGGCGACAGCGACGCGCATGCAGTCGCTGTATGTCTCTATTTTGCTTTGTTTCCAGCGTGTCTGTCTCTGTCTCTCTTTGCCTCTCTTTGTCTCTATTTCTCAGTATGCTTTCCTCTTGTTCTGCCTCTCTTGTCTTTATTATATGGCAGTGCGTAGCCTACTACCAGAATACATAATCATAAATAAAACATGCTGCACTGCTTCTGTGCCTGTGCCTCTATATAATAAAGAAGTCTTAAATATAAATGCCTATCATCTTAAGACCCCTTGCTATACACTGCAATACCATACAGTGCAATCGATACAACACTCCTAGTAGCGTTGTATGTGGGTAAAATTATATATATATAATGCAAATGTACAACAACATCGTATAATGCAATGCAATGTACCATTATGACATTGCAATAGAGCAGTGTCTTTAAATGCTTCAGGGCTTCGTGTGACGGTGGTGGTGTATGGACGTAGAGTAAAGCAATAATAATAATAATACTCTAAAAGCTAGTGACAACGTCCAGCGCACTCAAATGAAGTAATAGCAAATGGAGGACCCCAATGTGAAGGCTGGATTAAGTCTTTTCGTCTGTTTGTTTGTATCTGTCTGCAGAAACTACGGTCGTCACAACTCAGAAGGACAGCTCCTCTGGCTCTTTCCTGGTGCATCAGCGAGCAGCTTTTGATTTGCTGCAGCAGCAGCAGCAGCAGCAGCCGAATCATAAAGGGGGTCCCCGTAAACCCCAAGACAAAAAGGGCTTCCGTCCAGGGTATAAGAAGAAACCTGGAAAGGGGAAAAACCCGCAAAAGCACAAGCGCATGCACAAAAGGGGCTGGGGGAAAGATCCTTCTTGAGTTTAATGCCCAATGAGCGTTCAAGAGCGCTTCGGCATCGCGGCTTGGCCTGCAACCCTAAACCCTAAACACTAAGCCCTAAGCCGTATGACACGGCTAACGAATAGGGGGATGCCAGGGCTGGGCCTTGAACGCATGCAGTGCTTGTAGCTGTTCCCAAACCCAAAGGTATTCATGGGGTCTTGCAATGAAAGAGAGAGGAGCTGCGTCTGCCAGTAGAGGAGCGGCACCTCATGTGTGAAGAAATAGAAAAAAATAAGTAACTGAGAAACTCGCAGTGAATTAGAATACATTTGCACTTTTTTAGGTAGGGAAACCCAAACAAACAAACTCTGAGAAATTCCCCCTATTGAGGTTGGTGGGTGTACGTACACTAAGAATAGAAATAACAGTGGCTTGCGTCATCCTTTCTTGCCGGGTTAGCAGTCTTTCTTGTGCATTTAAGACGAATACCCGTACCGTACCGTACCGCGACTACTTACGCAGAAGCAAACTCAACCTGCTAGGGAAACAGTTGCTGCTGTGGGTACGGAGCGCTGGGCGCCTCTGCAGTACAGGCAGTACATTACTGTTAGCCCCCGTCTGCATCCCTGCCTATCCTTGTTTCTCTCTGTACGAGAAAGCGTTTGCTTTCCTGCGGGGTGGCTTTCATACAACTTTGCAGTACGGCGAACGATGCGGAGATAAAAAATAATGCGGCGAGGTTGAGGCGTAGCTCAACTGTCTTGCTGCAGGCGTCGCAGCAAGTAGAGCTGCAATTCGTTAAAAGCCGCTTCCGCTTTCCATCTACCCCAGGCTCAGTGCTGATGTGCCCCGTAAGCCTTGAGACAGAGTATAACAATCTGTTGATTGCTGCTTTATTGCAACTAACGACGGTCTTCTGTTAAAGCAAAGGATTCGTTGAATTAAGACAGACAATGTTACACAAAGGCATTCATTCATGCCGTTGTGCTCAAGATGCTCAAGGAAGGTATGGTAGCTCGTATTATTAAGTGTTAAGATCTATATATCTGTGGGCCTTAGGCAGTTCGAGAGAGGAGAGGAGGCTGTCAGTTAATGCGTGTCAGAACTTCTTGCTGCAACGCTTGCTGCATATCAACCCCTTATGCAAGTATACCTGTACTACACCTCATGAAATTAATAAGGTAGAGGCAATGCAAACTGAATATTAAGAATCAATTCAAAATGAAATATAAACGATGTTATCAACTCTTGAAGACGTTCAAACGAGTTAGCACCTGGCATATAGGATTGAACTCTTGCGTGTCTTTCTGGGGAAATGCACTCCTTAATAGACAAAAAGTGCAAATTGAATATTAAGAATCAATTCAAAATGAAATATAAACGATGTTACCAACTCTTGAAGAATTCCCTTACCGCCTGCACACCGTGTTTGTGTTTGTCTGGTTGAGAGGCGTGTGTATATATACACTCTGCTGTTTAAAAAAGTTGTTTCCTGCAATATAAACTCGTGTTTAAAACTAATAAACAAAATGAAATGACAATTTAAAACAAAAAACAAGAATACTATTTTTTGTTTTCCACATACCGGCCGCAGCTCAGCCCTCTGTAGCAGCCGACTGAACTGCATGCAAGGAGTTGCTGGAAGCTAATAATTTGCGTTTCTTTTGTCTGCAATTCAAAACAACTTGTTATTTTCCCTTTTATTTCATCTTTTTATTCCTCTGGAGACGCGAATTATACGAAAAAACTGCGGCTCCTGAGAGTTTCTGCACAGAATGTTCACCACCAGGTGGGAAGCTGCAAATTCCTTCTTCTGTTACAACCAGAAAGTTGAATTAAATTATTTCTTTCTTCTTTTCTTTCTCCTTTTCTGCGTCTAAACTGTCTTGAGGCTTGCCCTTGTTGCAGCTCCGGAACAACAGCTAAGGGTTAAGGGTTTAGGCTTTAGGGTTTACTTTAGGGTTTAGGGTTTAGGTTTCTGAAGCAGCGTGCACAAAGGGTAAATGCAACTGCGGACATCTGGACGTGTCGTTGCTCTTTTTGTTTATTCTTCTTGCAATGCACATCAGAAGAATATGCAAAATAGGGGGGCTTTCAATTGAATGCGTTTTCTTGCGCGAACAGATTCATAATGAACGGAATCTAAACTTTTGTTTTTCTTCTACAGAATATAGAGAGCAAAAGATATTTAAATGCATCGTTGTGCCGCCTTTTACGCTCATTTTGTTTGTTTTCCCTGTGTTTTTGTCGCCGTCCACTCCTTGCTTTAAAGGACGGAACATGTTATGCATGCAACATATATATATATATATATATATATAT